TAGTTTTAGAAATCGGTGAGTGAATTTTCAATTACCGTTTCAGATTCAATAAAAGCGGTAGAAGAGTAAATGTCTGCAAATAGACTAGAACTCAACAACAATAGAAATAAATATGTGGCTTGGTAGTCAACGCAGTTTGAAAAATGTTGATGATTTCATAAAACCAGTTGCTGATTTAGGCCTCGTTCTCGACCCAAACCTTTTTATGGGTAAAAAGTCTTTGTGAACAATCCTTTTATCATCTTCATAAAATAACTTTTGTGAGCAACCTCGTTTGTGCCCAAATTGATTACTAAATTCAATTCTGTAGGGTGTGAATAAAAGTCAAATAGCATCCATAAAATCAGTTCTGTGGCCTGCCGCTAGACTAATTGCTCGATTCCAAAAATTTGACTGCATTTCTGATTACATGAATAGAATAATGAGCTTGGCTATCGTTGGACAGAATACGATTTTAAGTATTTCTCATGATAAAAAAAACTGTCTAACTGGAAAAGCACCGGTCTACTTGAAAGAAATGTTTAACTCTGTTTTGAATTTCCTGAAAGAAGTAGACTGAAATCGGAAAAACCAATAGATTTTGTTTATCCTCCGTTCAAAACATTTTATTTTGGTGTAAGAAAGTTTCCAGTTGGGACTCATAGCTGCTTGGCCTAAAAGTTGATACTAACATCAGTCGTGAAGTGTTCAAAGGCCGGTTGAAACATCATTTTCCCAATAAAATGAAGCACAATTAGCTCCTCTGACTCTATAAATTAACAATGCAATGAATTATGAATTGATGGACACAAGTAGTGTGTGCGTGAATATGCCAATTTAGTGGGAGGAAGACAAAAAGTATATTTTGCTGAGGAGAATGCAGTCTGTTTTTGGGAAAATGCAGATTGGGTATTACGTTTCTTTTGATGAGATATTCAGGTGCCTGTAATATACGCACTTGTACATAATGATGGAGATTTTAAACAGGATGCGTTTCTCCACCGTAAGCCAATCTAGAGTTTTAGAATGAATGTGACGTGGTCAAACCTCAGACCAACAAAAACTAGCTTTGTTTTTGACACGGTTCTGAATGGACTGAAGTTGTTGAAGACATTTTTTGGACAGACCTAAAAAAAGACTTGCAATAGTCAAGTCTAGAAAAGATATATATATATATATATATATATATATATATATATATATGTGCGTGTGTGTGTGTGTGTGTGTGTGTGTGTGTGTGTGTTTTGTAAGTAGAAAAATGATGCTTCTACTTTTACAAATTTCATTCCAAACATGATGATGGTCTGCCATGATTGGTATGTTTACTAAATCTGACCTGGCTCGAAAGTTATCTGCTTAATACGGAAAATTAACTTATATTTTTTTATGAAAATTTATTTAACTAAATAATTAATTTGCAAAAATGAAAAAAAAGACTTTGTAGGTAAACCAATTTTTACAAAATTTTATACTACTGTAAGAGTATAAGTTTATAAATAAGATCTTTTGATGAATAGACTGCTATCAGCAGCCATCTTTTAATAGATTGTAATGTAGATGGATTCCTGTGGATGCATAGCAAAGTAGCCTACATAGGTGGGAGGGCGCAGACATAGAAAATAGAGAAACCGAAATAAACATTCGATTAAAAAGTTGAATACATGGCTTTTATTGCACTCGTATATGAAAAAGTAACGTAGAAAAAAGTATCATATATAAAAAAGTCTCAAGTAGAGAACACATGGCCAACATACATAGTCACCAAAGGTCAAAAATAAAAAGATGTACATATAGAAAGATACAGGAAGATAGATAGCAAAGCGTTCGTGCGAATGAACGAACGGATGTAAAGATAAAAGAATGCATGCATTGGTGAATGAATGATCGGATAGAGAGACAGATAGTTTGATTAACATGTCGACTGCTGTGAAAACTTTGGATTGATGAAAATTAAACAAATTGAAGCTAAAGAGTTTGTTGAATAATTTTAGATTAATGAATGTCGGCGCTTTTATATGATAAAATTTCATGGATAATGTGTTTTTTATTGGAAACTTTTGAATAATATCTTCTGAAATTTTAATATCTATTGCTTACTCTCTGAGATCAAGCTATAGTTGGCTATAAATATAACAAAGCATCATAATTTGTAACTACATAAATAAAGCCTCCAGCATAACGAAGCATAATGTGGAAGTTCGCCAGCCGGTAGGCGTGCCATCTTTCGCGCTGATGTTACCATCATACCATTATGATGCGGTGCTTGCGCGTGCATGCATGGTGGGTTTGTGCGTCGTGTGGTGTGGGTGTGCTGCCCAACTCAAGGGGATCCCTGTCAAGCACGAAGATCTCAAACCGGCTTGGCTCTATATGATCAGAAAATGATACTTAATATACAAAAATATTATGCAAATGCATGAAACAAATTAACAAAAAAATCAAAATGAATAAAATCTTTAAAAATGAATAAATATTTATTAATAAACTATAAAAATGTAAAAATTTGATGAATTTGACAAATAATTGTGCATGGGAACTAAAAAATGACACCAGACCCTAAAGCTCACTGAAAATGTTCACCATTTCGTTCGAGAGCCAGTATAAGTATACCAAGTATATGGTACAGCCTTTGTGGTGTTAAAGTTTAGGTTAATTACGTGTGTAAAATAACGTGTAAGCACTTTCTGTTTGACAGACCTGCATCAAAAAGAATAAAAAACAAAATAAAAAATACACTCAAAGACTCAAATTTGTGTGCATAAAAATGTTGTTAAAAGAGAAAAATTATTTATGTCAATAAATCTCTGAAACAAACTGAGTCATTTGTTTCAAAGTTTATGAATAAGATGTTTTCAATTAATTGCATTTCTGTTTATCTAAAACATATTCGGATCGTGGACCGAGTTACTCCAGCTGGCCTGACAGTCATGTTTTTGTTAAAGGATACTAAGCAATAAATTGTGATGATTTTTGTGTTTGAATGTTTATACGTTAACCAATCATTTAAATATCTGATATCTAAAAAAATATAGGAGACTGACCGATAATTCTTGCATCATTTTAGCTCGCGCCCTCTTAATTCAAATCTTAAGAAAAACAGCAGATATTAAGATGTATTAAAATGATTGTCAACGTTGAACTGACAGGATGTTTTCTGAGCGCCCGTAAAAACTCGCGAGTTTGGTTGGTGGTTGAATAATCGAATTAACACGTGTAGTTAGTGCAGTTCAACAACTGAATTAGACGTTCTAACATTTTAAATTTTTTGCTCAAGTAATTCCACAGAAACTGCTGATAAAGAAGAATCCTTGTGCCTGATCAATTCAGTAGAGCGTTCCGAATCTTCAAAGATGCTTTAAATCAGTTTTATTATCCAAAATATTGTTGATCTAAAATTTAGTAACCTCAAAATGCATAGAAGATGTGAAAGGCCAGCATCGACATTTCAGAGTGTATAACGTCTCTATTTGCATGTATCTATTAATTTATTGTTGAATGAGCTTCCCATTTGAAGGCCTTTATCATGGTTGCATTTAATTAACGAACAGACGCTAATATGTATTGATCTGGACATGGGCTGAACAACAATCTGGCCTTAAATGATATACGATAAAAAACAAACAGCTTCACCGTTCGTGCAAATTATTTCTATGCTATTACAGCTGACAGTAACTTGTTTTGCGCGTGTGCAGAACTGATTGCAAAAACAAAAGGCACGTTTGCGCTTGTACGCATCTAAAGTGGACATTACATTAGGCAGGCGCGAGACATGCAACGAATCGCGACAAATGAAAGAGGATCATTCGATGATAAAACATCGACCGACACGCTGTTTGGCTTGTTTGTGTTTCCCTACAAGCTGCAGCAATGTATGTTTACAGTTGCAACCCTCTTAAATGCACTATCATTTTTATTTATTTTTCCATTTCAACTTATCTATATTTTAGAGCTAGCCTATATTGTTTCATACTATTTGTGTACAAAGTATGTTTATTATATCTAAATAGGCATAACAGTTAATTAAAAAACTTAAGTGTCAGGCTAGCAGAGGCGTAACCAAGAAAAGGCTTCTGGGTTAAAGGAAAATCCTATCACAACAAATAGTTTTGTTAGAGTTATGTTTAAATTTAACAAAATTTTTATTTAAAATCATAAAAAACATTGTTTTAGTCTCCGCAACATTAACATTTGGCAAAATTGTTTTAAAAACAGTGCTGCCAATCTAACGGTTGCAAAAAATGTAGAATGAGTAAAAAAGCTGGCTAAGCAGTTGTAGGTTAAAATTAAAGATTACAAGTACAACAAAAATACAAAAAAACTGTTAAAAATTAAATTGCCTTAAAGCCATTAACACTTTTAAGTTTAAATTATCTAAATTTTTTGCACAAACATTTTGTTTCTTTTTACATGAACAGATCAAGCAACAACTATTTAATAAATTAAGTTTACTTAATCTGTAAGAAAATATTTTTACTACTAAAAGATGTATAGTTTTATAGACGAGATCGAATTTGCTTTTGAATACTAATGGAAAGTTTTTTTTACCAGTGTTACTCTTCTATGGAATTTATTGTAAGTTCATAACTCATATTTGAAGTTTGTTAGTTTTCAGATGGGCATACAAACTTTGCGGTTTAAGCCCATTATATTCTCATTATGTCATGTGTTGTATCATGTATAAAATTTTTTATCATTTATTTATTTTGAATTAATTTTTTCTATTTCAGAATAAACATCCACAAAATATACTTCACCAAAGCTCCTCATGGCCTAATTTCATTTACTGATTTTTGAGAGAGACTTATTGGTTACAAGTTGAATTGTTAGAGCCAACCATTTTCTATTTCAATATGGAAGAAACAAACATAACGAACGTGCTCACCAAAAATGTATCTACTTACTTTTTTCAACAATCCTCCGATACTTATTACAATTTCAGTCTAACTACCTATGCCAATGTTTCACTGAATTTTAATACAAATGGATGCAATTTTTCAAAAGATGTGTGGGAAAATGACGTCTACAAGATAACTCTCCTTTCAATCATAATTATTTGCATCGCTTTAGCAACCACAGGTGGCAATCTCCTTGTTATGATTTCCTTCAAAATCGAACCTCAATTGAGAACAATCAGCAATTGTTTTCTACTGAGTTTGGCTGTGGCAGACATAACAATTGGACTCTTCTCGATCCCATTATATTCAATGTACCTGCTTCTAGGCTATAACTGGCCACTTGGTCTTTTTGTTTGTGACGTTTGGCTCTCTCTTGACTACACAATGAGCAACGCTTCCGTGGCCAACTTACTGCTAATAAGTTTTGACAGGTATTTTTCGGTTACGAGGCCTCTAACGTACAGAGCTCACAGGACTCCCGTGAAAGCAGGCATCATGATAGCGTTGGCCTGGATCATTTCCATTCTCTTGTGGACGCCGTGGATCATGATATGGCCGAGAGTTTCTGAAGAGAAAAGATCAAAGAATGATTGCTACATTGCATTTTTGGATAACACAAGTACGGGAGGAATTGTCCTCACGTTTGTCACAGCCTTCGGAGCCTTTTTTATACCTGTATTTGTCATGTGCATTTTATATTTTAAAATTTATCGCGAAACTGAAAAAAGAAAAAAAACTTTTGTGGGCTTGCTAGGTGGCGACCCCGGAACCAAAGACAAGGTTTTAAATTTTTTTAATAGAATACATCTAAAATCAATAAATAAAAATTTGTTTTTTGATTGCCAGGAATCACACTTTTACACGAAACAACCTACACAATCTGAACCAACAATCAAGAAGAGCAACGACAGTTATGATCGTAATAAAGAAGACAACTTCAATAAGGAGAATATTTTACAAAACAGAACCAAGCAAATAAATCAAACTAATAAAATTGACAACAATGGTCATAATCAAAGTTTAATTAGGCAAAAATCGAATGAAAATGAAACTAAGCCACAAAAAATTCCAATTATTCCCCGGCATTTATTTACAAAAATGCCTAACAAAATTGTCGCACACGACAAAATTTCAACAAATAAATTCGGAACAATCTCCAGCCAAACACGCAAGAAGCGGACAGGTCAAGATCAAAAAGCTGCAAAAACGTTAAGCGCCATCTTGTTGGCGTTCATCATCACGTGGACTCCTTACAACATATTTGTCCTCGTTCAAGCTTTCTTCCCGTGTGCTATACATCCAACATTATATGCCGTTGGTATGTTTCAATAGCTTAATCTGTAGTATAAGCAATGTCAACAAGTTTTTCATTTTGGTTTAGACGCACTTTTATAACTCTTATTCTATTATTCGTATTATTATTATGATTGGAAAATGCAAAGTAGCTCATTGAAATTGCATAAAAACTGCTCTGGCGCGACGGTCTGTATAGTGAGAAGTTACTCAATATTTTTTCAATACAATGCATCGCCAGATTAAATCTGCTTGATTAAAATTAAATTTCAATTGACTTTCAACAAAAAAAAAACATGATCTGTATCATATTGAATCATTACAACACGTCACATCAGGTTATTGGCTGTGTTACTTGAACAGCACAATCAACCCAGTCTGCTACGCCTTGTGCAACGAACTGTTTCGATCTTCGTTCTTGAGGATATTGAGGTGCCAGTGGAGGAAGACTCGGCCGACGTACTTCCATCAAAACTCAAACAGCGTCAGAATTTAACGAAGAAGCAAATGACATTTTGTACAATTCTGGTTGTAAAGCCTTTTATTTTCATCTACCAACAAAATGAAATATTTAATTTCAAATTCGACAAAATGCATTACATGCATGATATAGATACATAGATATATGATCAATAGATATAGAAAATTATTGATGTGACATATTTTCATGGATACGTACATATTTGTAAGTAATTATATAGAAAAGAAGTATTTTCTACAATATATGTAAAACCACAAACCAGAATTAAAAGTTTGTTGAGAGTAAATTAATTTTTATAAAATCAATAAACACTTGGCTATTTTCATGTTAAAATTTGTTTAAATGTTTTTTGTTAAGCATCATTATCATGTTCATTATTACAAGTTAATTAAAAATAAAGTTTATCGTTTATCTTCCCAGGCTCTCAAACATTTTTTAACCAAAAGAGTTTTTTGACAAGAATAAATACAGATGTATTATATACATTTGTAAACCAAAATTTACTTGACGCAAACTGTGAAAAACGCGTTGTATATAGAATCTAAAATTTTCTGTGAATAAGGCTCAGAGTGTGGTTAGGGTTTGATATATATATATATATATATATATATATATATATATAACGTATACTATTATAATATATATGTACGTTTTTCACAGTATGCATCAAGTAAATTTTGGTTTACTAATTTATATAATACATCTGTATTTATCTGTATTCTTGTCAAAATCTTGGTTAAAAAATGTTTGAATTTTTTTGGTTAAAAAATGTTTGAAAGCCTGGGAAAGATAAACGATATATATATATATATATATATATATATATATATATATATATATATATATAAGTTTAGTTCAGCATGAATTTGGAAAATAAGTTTATTTTGAATTTTAATAAACTAAACGTTCACCAAAAAACTTTAGTGAGAAAAATCGAAAAAACGAACTACAAACATGTTAACGCCAAACATTCGGTAGAATTTATAGAATATTGTAAATATATATATATATATATATATTTAAACTATGATGAAACAAAATTATAAAATTTCATAAGACTTGTTGCACAACACGCCATTCGTTATCTCAAATATTCAAAGGTTACCCCAGAACTCGGTAAAAAAGTTTTGAATTCAATTAAACAATGTGAAAATTGCGGATAAAAATAAATTCTCTGATTAATATGAATAAGCAGACCTAACGCAGACCAAAGTTATATATGAATAACTTACATTCACAAGCTACACTCGGCTGAAATTTTAGCTCGGCTAGGTAACAATGAAAACTATCTATCAAGAAGAGTAACAAAAAGTTTAAAACCAAAAATATTGGACACATTAAAAATTTGTTAAGAACTAACAATAGGAAAGAAAATACAACTAATAGTTGTTGACAAACGTTGACAAAAAATCTGTACTTTCGGATAAGCTTGAAAGCAACATACATATTTATGCTCAGAAAAAAATATCTACCACCCAGCCTCGTGGCGAAAAATTAACTCAAGATTAAATACAGTTCAGAAAAATTGTTGACAAGAAAAATTAAGAATACACTTCATTAAAAGCGGAATAAACTTTAATTTGAAAAACTGTTTTCTCCATGGATATATAGGGTATATATCCATGGTTTTCTCACTAAGCAATGTTCAAAAGTGTCGTAGAGACGTTGTTACTGACTTTCTCACAATAAATGGCGTAAAGATGTTATCATTAATCCAGTCATCAAGTGCTCTGAAGTGCTATTTAATAGTGAATTAACTATCTTAGAATGCACAATTTTGAAAGTTAAAGTTGAGAGCAGTGATGGAAAAAAGTTGAGAAACACCGACTTCGGAATACTCGTTGTAAAACGAAATAGTATTCGATTGGAAATTTAAACATTCAGTCCAAAAAATGATAATATTAGAATGTCTCCTAATGACTGCAATAATTTACCGAAACTCGCGATAATGAAAATAATCTGCATAGTAATAGCAAACATAATTAAAATGACAATTATAATTTATAAAAGTTTCTAGAAAAAAATTTAAATTAATTTGCAAATTTTATTTAAGTGTTTACAATTTTAAATCAACTTTAGTAACATATTAATAGAAATTCTAATCAAATTTATTTAAATATAAAAAGTCTATGGATCTATAGGATTTCATTAATCAGTTGGGCGTCATTGCTAAATCAAAAAACTGGCTGCTTGCTGAAAATCAAACTTTTTTTAACACAATTTTTGATTGACTCATTTCCAGAGTTTGTGACGATGTTAATCAAAAAATACTTCAGACAGATTTTAGACATTTGTTTAAGAAATTTTTTACCGTTCTTTTGTTCTCTACTACTACTCCTGCTACTACTACTACTCCTACTACTTCTACTACTACTACTAATAATAATAATAGAAATAATAAATAATAATACTGTTAATAATTAATAACAATAATCGAGCCCAGTATTTTGAGAACGCGAATCCGCCAATCTAACATGACTCGATACTTTTTACCGAGACCTCGAACATCTTATTTACAAAGAGATTATTTGTTGGACCATTCTTGATTTCTTGATCCTAAGTTATTTGCGTACAGTGTCTTTTATTTTGTTGCATTAATAATAATTTCATCGTTTTTATTATAAAATCAGTTTATTTGTTTAACTGTAAATAATTGTTCAATTTCTACACAGCTGCCTCTTTTGTGCGTTTCGTCTGATTTTGTTAAAAACTTGTATTGTTTTGCGTTCCAAATTCGAAATGCATCTTCAAGCAACTTTTCAATGACAAACAATTACAGTACAGTACAAGGACTGACAACGTTACAACAGCCATCAAATACATCGACCAAGCCAAAATAGTAAAATATAATTAGCCACACATAGAACCACGGAGGTCATGATGGAGACAATTGACTCCATGGCCAGTGGTGATGCTGTGGATAACACCTTTGAAGGCCTTATTAAAGAGGACAAAAGTATTTTCCAAAATATGGATTGGGACCTAGTTGGTGTTGTTTTTCTTTTATGTTTATTTTACAGGCAGATTGATTTGAATTTTGGTTGTTAATGTTCACAGCATTATGCAAATGAGTCAAGTACATGTACAGCTGAAGCTGGTCCAACAGTACATGCTGTCTTCAAATGGAAAGGTCAAGGAGATAAAGTCTTTCTTTCTGGAAGCTATGATAACTGGTCAACCAAACTACCTCTGGTCAGAAGGTTGGTTGGTCAGCATTAGATTGCTGCTTGCATTTTTGTTTTTGTTGTACCTGATAAATACCTGATAAAGAGGAAATAAGTGACATAACTAGTTGGTGCCTATTCTACTTATCATCAGAACATGTGGAATATTGTTTTTATTGACTTTGCAATTCATTTTGTTCATTGAAATTTTCAAATGATACTTAGACCTTGCAGACCAAGAAATGATTCTTGTGTCATTGGTTGATTAATAAATAAAGAGGACAAAATTTGGAATTATAAATAAAAATATTTACAAATTTTTTAAAAAAATTACAAAATATTTTAATTTTAAAATTAAAATGAAAATGTTTACAAATTAATTTTATTTATTATTGATGTTTTAAATATGTCATGCTAAACTAACAAGCTGAAGTTGTTATTGATGCTTGCATTATAATATTTCTTGATAACATATATCAAAATAAATAAATAAAGGAACATATTGACACAACAGTGGTTCCGAGTTTTTCACTATCAAAGAATTACCTCAGGGCACCCATGAATACAGATATCTTGTTGACAATGAATGGGTTGTACATAAGAATGAAGTTAGATTTTTTAAATGGCAATATGCATTAAATTTCATGATTATTTGTTGTTTCTTTTGTTGAACATTTGAAAATGTATTAAAATGTAAATATTTTTTGCAATAATTTAATAAGCTGGTCTTGCTAATTAATTGTTTTATTCAGTTTTTTGTTTGCTTACAAAAAGCAGGATGACTGTGAAAAGATAAATGGAACTTAGCTAGTAAAGCCACCCTAGCAATATTTAAAAAAAATTAACATAGAATCATTGAGAAAATGTGAATTATAATATTACATAAAATGATTAACTGTCAGTTTAAGTAGAAGAAAGCAATAAATGAAGCAAAACATTCAAGCTCTGCAATAAAAATATAGACAGGAATAAGTACAGACAATGTTTACAAAAATTAAAGTGGTTGAGTCAAAATAACAGCGAATACCAAATGCATATTGCAGAAAAAGAAGTCATTTGACAGCAAAATGTCTCATACGAATTTATAATTTTATCAATTTATTAAATGTTTCAAGTGTCTAGAAAAAATTTACAGATTTTACTTTTCAATATTGCTTTTCAATATTGCTTTTCAGTGAATGATCATATTATTGGATATTCCAGTTTATAACTTTTCATGATTTGTTATATAAATTTTTGCCTACATAAACAGGCTTTAAATTGCAAAAAAATTTTGAACACAGTTCATTGTTTTGTTATTATCATTCACTTCTATTTTTACTTCTATATCCTTGTTTGCATTAACTTTCTTTGGCAATAATAAAAATTGTCAACAAGTTGGTAAGTGCTGATGTTTTTGAATATTATTTCATTCAGCCAATTGTGGATGGCAAGATAGGCGGCCAGTGCAACGTCGTTACTGTCAACAGAACAGACTGTGATATTTTTGCTGCATTAAGTGCTGATGATATTAGATCCACAGGTTTCGTATCAGCTTTTGATATTATTTTTTATATGTCAATTAGTTGGATTTGATAAAATGCTTATGTGAAATCAAAGTTACTTCCAGTGGTTTTGTTAGAATTTTAGAGCAAGATAACTTGCTATTTATTTATGCTTCGGGGCAGTTGTTTTGTCTTTTGTGAGAGTGCTTTTTAAATCAGCATTTTAATTCTGCAATCTGACACAAGACATTTTCGTTTTCAATAAGCTGTTAAGCAAGAAAACTGTGACTGAATTTATGACTATTTATAACTTTGGTAAAAAAATTCATTTACACACGAAAAATCTCAAGTTGGTACCCTAAATAATTAGCAACATTATTCGTCACATTACTGTGGAATTAAAATAATAATAATTTCACGATATATATTTGAAATTTGTATTCAAATTTTCATTGAATTATTAAATATTTTTATAATATGGATTTGGATCAACTCTTATATTTGAATGAAAGAATAAAATTAATTCCCAAAGTTTAGTTGTATTATCTAAAGCATCACTTTAAAAAAAACTTGAAAATGCAAATGCTGCAGTTGAATAATTGTTTCCAACAGTGTGCTACAATTCCGCCAAGATTAAAATAAAGTCAAAAATTTTATATCAAATTTAATCAATCTTATGAATACAAAAGGTAAAGAAATGTTTCTCGTTGTAATGCTGCTGTGAAGTTTGTCAACTATGAATTTTGCGTCTTTGTTATAAAAAAATACTCCGCACAATTATGTCAAAAGTGATATAATAATAATAATCTTTCAGTAGTTCAAAGCTGAAAAGATTTTTGATTTCGGAAGTTGGGGTAGGCCAATTTTTTATCCGGATGCACATTCCTGGTCAAATTTTTTAATAATTTAAGTCGTGAAAGGGTAGTAGTTATTGAGGACAATAATGATTCAAGTACGGATTTATTCTTAAGTGTTTTAACATGAAATCTGTCCTCTTCAAATTGAAGGTGTAGTACCTCTATGTACGAACAGTGGTTGGACACAAGATGTCCCTCCGCGAGGAACAGGGTACACATTTATGCGGAGTGGACCACCTCTTTTACCACCTCATCTTTCAAACACGATTCTCAATTTAGAGACACCTCCACAGGTACCTCAAATATTTTTTCTTATTTAAACATGGTTCTTATTTAAACATTTACACAGTTATATCAACAGTTAAAATATTATATGGTATCTCAACATAATATAAAATTGCATTTATGTAGCTCAAAACTAAAAATAAGCACTGACACTGAAAATTAAAATCTCTTGAAAGTTAACGCTTCATTAAGAAATCCCGCCGATACAATGCGCATTGGGGTAAATTGTTTAAAAAATTAGATTTAATTAAACTGACACCACTGGCAAGAAATAAGCAACTGCAACTGGCGCCTTTTGAAATAGTTATTTTAAGGTGTTAAATACAGACCACAGAATATATAACTAGACAAATGAACAATAAAGAAAACCCAATTTGAAATAACTAAAAACACTGGAAAGAACGACTGGAAAAGGTCATAGTAAACTGGGCGTCACTGATGTCCATCTGAATCGGTTAATTGAAAATTTATTACCGATGCGTCAATAAGAATTTTGGAAATTGACAAGATGAATGCTATTTGTCCCAATGGTCCTTCAAAGGATTGAAAAGTATCAAAATTTAACCAATTATTACATTAAATTTGAAGTTTACTTAAATTTGCTGATTGATGTTTAAAATTCAGTGTGATCCAACAATTCTGGTGCAACCAACTCATGTCGTGCTTAACCACCTGTACACATTATCAATAAAGGTAAGTTCAGTACATCTTTTTATATCGTTTTCGAAATTAAACACCATAAATATTTTTTGTTGCAGGACGGAGTTCTGGTTTTAGGCACAACATACCGTTATAGGAAAAAATATGTAACAGCTGTTTTATATAAACCTATTTAATTTTATTTATGCAATTTTTCGATGGACAAATTTTTTCAAACCAATATTTTTTATATTAACTAAAGTAAATCAGTATTGTCATATGACAAACATTCTATTTTATAAATTAATTGTGATTTGAATCTACATAAAAAACATTTTGGCAATCATCCTCCGGGGTGTGAAATTTATAAAAAAAACATTACATAAAGCATACATTACAGAATTGTCCATTACATATTATTGAGTCCTTAAATGTAAAACACATGTTACGTCTGTCAAACTGGTTTTTCAGTCTTTTAGCTTCTGGATCTGCTTCTGCTTGCTGACCTGCTTCTTGAAACCGACCTACTTTTTGATCTTGTGATACTCCTTGACCGAGAAATATTACGCGATTTTCTGGAACCAGATTTTCTGGAACCGGATCTTCTGGACCCAGACTTTCTTGAATTGGATCTATCTCTTGAATGCCGAGAATGTGATCTAGAATGTGTAAAAATATTTTACTTTACTCCACAATGCGTCAATGGTATTATGTAAAATTGCATTATGTGAAAATCTTACACAAATTTTCTGATGTGACTAATTGAGAAATAAATGAAAGCACTACATAAAATGGAATTTTAGAACATTACCTAGATCGATCATTAGAAATTCTTCTGGAACCATTTCTTGAATCATCTCTTGATTTGCCTCTAGAAGACTTATTCCTTAAATTACGTCTCGAACTTGACCTAGATCTGGAATGTCTTCTAGATCGAGATCTGTCTCTACATTAAATGACATTTTTCAAAAATTGAATTCAAGTAAACAATGTAGAATTAAGTCCTATTTTTAAAAAGTTTTGAAATTGGGTATCAGTGAACTGCAAACCTGCTGTGGCTTCTTGACCTTCTGACATTTCTCGATCTGGGACTAGCAAAAATTAAATCGTTTAGTGTTAAATTAATGATCTATAAAAAGATATAAAAACAGTGTTTCCAAAATTATTTATCTTTGTAAATTTCAGTAAAGTCTATTTACGAAAAAGTAGTTAATATGTTCATTACAAGTTTTATAAAACTTTTCTAGTCTTTTTTATGATATCTTACATTTAAAAAAATTTTTAATAAAATTTTGTTTTTGATATCAGCCATCACACCCAGTTATCACTTGCAACTGCTTGATGTTGTAATCGACCCAAGAGATGCATTCAGACAATTTTGGAAAGCATTGATACAGATAAAAAATTAATTAATAAAGCAGCATTCATTGCATGTACCATCCAGTCGATAATGTACCTGTTAATGTCTAGTTAAAGTTTTAGGCATATTTAATTGATTAACTCACTTTTAAATAAATCAGTCGAAGCTGATGTTTGATGAAAGTGATGAATCTTAATACTTAAAAGAGTAGAGTTGATTGCAATCAACATTCTATCAAATCGTTTTGGGTCATGGTTGGTTGGTATTTTGTTGAATGATCTACATCAATTTTGAGTCGATGATTTTAATCATGTCATATCTCAACTACAAAACATAATGCAAAATTTATTAAACATGGATTTTTACAATTTAAATTTTTTAAAATGTTTTTTCTAGAAATGTGAAATTAACAATACCTTCTTCTGCCTTTGCCACGTCTTAGTTCACAATCATAAGCATAATGGCCTCTCTCGCCACATTCATAACATCTATCATCCGGGTTAAATGCCCTTCTACCACTTAATGGAGGGGGAGGTCCACGTCTCGGTGCTGCCTGCCAGGGTTTTGGTTTAGATTTTCCAGTTGAAAATTCTACACGAACTCTGCCACCACATATATTCCTGCAAATGTTGCACATACATTATAAATTAAATGGGTGATAACTTTCAAATCATTAAGTGTCATAGCTCAGTGATTTTTGTTTTTTCTGACGTTTCACTTATTGCCCAGCTTACATTTTTTTATGTGCAATAGCGATTCACGAAGTTGAAACATCTAGCATGTTACACAAACAACATTACAACAGTCACTGCATGAACAACTTCAAGTTATGTATGCTACCATTGAAGTGATATGTTTATGCTCTAAAATAATTATTTTATTTATTTTTGTCAATAAATTTAAAAACTTTTACAATTTAAATGAATAATAATAAAGGCAGATATTAATGAAATTATCAAATTTTTAATATTTTTATTTTTTTTAATTAAGATTAATGTTTTTCAAACTTTTATTGAATGTAGTTTATTTTATAACCAAAAGATAATATATTTGAAAAAATCACTATCTCTAATAGAGAGTTACAAAAGCGCCTCCTACTAATATGCAGAAAGTTGATTGAGAAAAATAAAAGATAGAAAAATTTTAAAAACGTTTGTTTCGTATTTAAATATGTTAACATAGTAATATATTGATTAAATAATTTTATAATTTATAATTGTTTAAGCATTAACTTATAATGACTTATAATAATGAGTAATATATGTTATAATACTTCGAAAAACATTAGGTTAGAAAAATGTTAGATTAATGTTAAAATTTAAGCCTTTAATTATAAATCAATATGTTGTAATATTTAGGAAAGCAATACGATGGCTGACGGCGTGACATTTACTGACCTGGTTGTGCGTCTAACAAAAAAAAAAGAAAAAACAACTATTGATTGGTTCAATTCTTGTTGTGACATTTGTCTGTTTAAATGCGTACAGCAAATTGACCAGGTAGGTTAGGGTTAGTGATTTAAACAATTTAAAACATATTAAAGGTTTAGTTTACTAAATTATACGTGTAATATTAAACGTACAAATTATAATAAAAACATATAAAAGGCTTAATTTACTAAACTATATGTGCAAATTATAATAAAAACATAAACAAATTATCATTAAAAAAATCTATCTACCTATACACGCAAAAGCACCTGCATCTATTTTAATCTCAATGCACTTTTCCAATTGCAGTAGGAGGAGCTTATTTTACTCTCTATTAGAGGTAGTGAATGTAAACAAACGTTGTAGTCCTGGGTAAAATGTGAGATAGGTACTCCTATGGTATCATCCATGTTTACAAACAATCATAATGTACTTTTAATAAATTAACTCCGCCCATTTTGAATTATCTAGTGCTTGATTATTTATTTATATCAAATTGAAAATAATTTAATTAGGTAAGTTTTTTAGATCATTACTTGTCAAATAGTAGAAATAGTGAACATTAAATAAAAAAAAGTTAAAATATGAGTAAATTTCTGTTTTGATAACAATCAATGGCTTATGGGGTGGTTAACAGGGTTAGGACCTCCCTTTTCAACAAAATTTTCAATCATTTCACAAATAAGGAGTGCTTAAAATTTTCAATCATTTGTGAAATGATTGAAAATTTTGTTAAAAATGGAGGCCATAACAAACCCTAACCACTCCATAAGCCATTGATATTTGACAAGTAATGATCTAAAAAACTTACCTAAGAATTAACTTGTATAAAATTATTTTCAATTTGATATAAATAAATAATCAAGCGCTAGGTAATTCAAAATGGACGGAGTTAATTTATTAAAAATACATTATGATTTTTTGTAAACATGGAAGATACCATAGGAGTACCTATCTCACGTTTTACTGTAGTCCTGAATGTAAAGTTTTGCCTTCGTTTTCTCTATAAATATAAATGCTACGATAATAAATTTTTAGTATTATTTTAATCAGCAAATGTCGCTCTATAAGAAAAAAAAGTTTTATAAATTTTTTTTTGAAATTGTGCGACCTGCCAGCATATATACAAGAAAAAGCTGAAATTAATGATTTTCACTTCAATTAAATTTTTTTATTATCATTGCCGGACATACAAAGCACCTTACTATTGTGCAAGTGAGCATGCTTCAACTAGCATTGCGCCCAACTATAAAAAAAAATTAACAACCAAACAAAACATGCTAAAAATGTCAACTTACGATCCGTCTAAAGTCTTCACAGCGTCCTCTGCGTCTCTCACATCTTCAAATTCAACAAACGCAAATCCTGCCGGATTTCTCGCTACCCATAAACTTTTTATTGGTCCAAATGTTGAAAAAGCACTTTCCAATTCATCCTCAGTGGCGTCTTTCGGCAAATCGCCAACATATATTTTACAGTCCAAGGAAGATGAATATCGCGACATTAGGAATCGTTGTAAATTTAGAGAAAGTAGGATACTTTCAAATTAATTCGTTTTGAAACTCGAATTCAATTAATTAAAACACACTCACAATCTTCAACGAACGTCAACCAAGCAAGGCGGACATATAAATAATAAAGCAATATAAAGACTTAGCCAAAGATATTAATTTTCAAAATACCAAAGATACTGTACGTGATAAATTATTATTATAGCTCCTTAGCTGTAATAAATTTTATGAATAAATGTCTATTTGCATACAAATTTAAAATAAAACTAAATTTTATGGAAGCAAAAACAGCCTCATTGAGTTGCATACAAGTGAAAGAAGCGTTTGTTCTAAACGTCAACTTGGAAGCAATTACGTCATTACGCCGTAAATTTACGCTGAAAACGGTTATTTGCTGGAGCCCCCCAGCATCAATTATAAAGGATGCGTAACATCATTTCTTTACAAAATAAATCGACAGGGCAAAATACCAAACACATCTTCTGCTTCACGGCCGGCATTTGCTTTCAATCAATCGATCGATCGATCAATCAATCAATCAATCAATCAGCTTGTAAAGCGCTATTTTGGCGATGTTCAACAGCGCTCCTCAATGAATTTTGCAAAAAGATGGGTCATGAGATCCGCTCTAAAGTTCGTAAATAATGGAGAAGCAGTCAGAGAAGTAGGTAGAGAGTTCCAGAGAAAAGGGCCAGAAAAAGCAAAAACAGATTTAGCAAAAGAGTGTTTAGCACGAGTTAAGAAGAAGCGAGAACAAGACGACGATCGTAAACCGGTGCATTTAGGTTCAATTAATATATCTGATAAGTACTTAGAAAATAATTTAGATTGAGACTTATACATAAATGTGCAAATTTTAAAAATTATTCTATATTTTATAGGTAGCCAGCAAGAGAACAAGATATGGAGATATATGAAAAAAAAATGGACACGAGCAACTAGACGAGCAGCAGAGTTAAAAGCTTTACTTAAAGGATTGAGCATAGAATCAGGAAGACCATAGTAGAACAAGTTACAATAATCAATTTTAGATAAAACTAACAAATTAACAAGAAGGGGAAGAGTAGGATCATCAAGAAAAGACAGGACAAGAACCCAGTCAGCTATAAATATGGGTTTACTTAATATTAGGTCAAAATTTGATATTGTTTATAATTTGCTTATTGATAGTATAGATATTCTTGTTTTGACTGAGACATGGCTTGCAGCATCAGATGACGTGGCTGTAAAACTAGCTATGCCACAGGGTTTAAATTATGAAAATTACTTACACCCGCGTGATCATCTACATGGATGAAAAATTGTTTACTACAAATGCAGTTTTAAAGTAAGATAATTTGAATTACCTGCCTCTACCTTTACCTCTAAACTCCTTTGAATCAGTTGCTTTGAAACTTGTTTGTGATTAGAAGAAAATTATGTTACTAGCTGTTTACCGACCAGGCTCTCATCCAGTCATACCATTGTTTTTAATGAGCTCACATTGATGTAAGAACAAATTCGCTTGCGCAGATTCTGTTGTATTAACTGGAGATTTTAATGTTTACTTAGAAAAAATAGAGGATGCACATTCACGCAGATTATAGAAGTTTTTCAGTTATTTAACTTATTGAACTTAAAAAAATCGGGTTAATGAACCGACCCATGCTCATGGCAGCATACTGGATTTGGTGGTCTCGTCGACGGAATTTCCTGAATTCTCATGGACTTCACGGAGTATATTCTGACCATTCCTTGATTCAGATAAGTTCTCCGATGATGTTCAGTTTTCCAGTCGGGGTGAAGAAAATTGTTCGATCATGGAATCAAGTTGATTACAAAAAATTCATTTCATTGATATTAAACTCGCCAATTTGTGGACCATTTGAATCAAACGATCCTGAATACTTGCTTAATTTATTTGAAAGGGAGATTGGAATCATTACGGATACTGTTGCACCCAAACACATTGTCACATTTAAAGATATTTCAACCTCACCTTAGTTTGATGAAGATTCAATCGATCAATCAATGATCCTCCTTTGTCCATCAGGGGACCGTCGAGGCCGATGGTGTACATCTAAGCAAGCTTTTTACATTTCTTTTTTTTCTTTCCAAAAACCTTTTCTATCTTTGGCCAATTTTATTGAATTCAGAATACCAACACCAGTCCATTCAGTAATGTCATCTATCACTTTCTTTGCAAGCCTACCAACTTTTTTTCTTCCAATCTTTTCCTCATAAGTACCATCTTAATCAATTTATCTTCCCTTATTCTACAAATGTGTTCAAAAAATCCCAATTTTTTTTCCCGGACTTTGTCATATACTCTTTTCTGTCTTGCAAGTTGATTTCTGATGGTTTCGTTCTTTACTTTCTGCCTCCAACTGATTCCCAATAAATTTCGGCAACATTTCATCTCAAATGCTTCCAATTTGTCTTTGTCTCTTTTCTTCATTGTCCATGTCTCACGTGCATAGAGCAAGCTCGGAAAAACGCAAGATTCTATCATTCTCAACTTTGTTTTTATAGATATATTTCTACTTTTCTATATTTCCTTCAACGATGCGAACATTCCATGGACTATTGCTATCCTTCTGTCAATTTCTTTTGTGCAGTTGTTGTCACAGGTTATAAGACTGCCAAGATACACAAACTGGTCTACATGTTCGAGTTTTTCTGATTCTATCTAAAATTCCGCATAGTTTCTGTCTTTCCCCGTAATCATCACCTTCGTATATCGACTGTTGAATTATCATGTTGATAAAGACTGCAGGCAGTTAAAGCAGTGTTGTAGAAGACTCAAGAGAGCATATCACCTAAATTCCTGTAAAATTAGCAGGGCTGTATTTGCGAATGCTATTATAAAGAAAATAAATTGTTTTCTATTAAACGAAAAAAAACGAGGGAGTGCTGACTCAAAAAATCTATAGAAAATTATCATTAATAAAGTTCTATGCAAAACAAATGCAGTCAACACTTCTGATATGTCAATCGAATGATTTTGCTCAATTTTTTAAAAACAAAGTTGATAAAATATTGGAACTGTTGCATGGTCCTGATGAGCCAGATTATCAATGTTGTCGGCTAAAACTCTGGTCTTTTCAACTATATTCCAGTGATGAGATCTGTCAAGTTTTATTAAAGTTACCATCAAAGTCATGCTCTCTAGATTATTAGCCAACTGAAATATTCAAGAAATATGTCAATTTATTTAATCCATTTTTAACGGTTTTTATCAATGCATGCTTGGTATCTGGATTCTATCCGACGTCATTTATTCCACTGATAAAAAACAGTAACATTTTGGCAAATTTCAGACCGTTATCTAATCTACCTTTTTTTTTATCCAAACTCATGGTACGTATTGTTCACAAACAGCTGGTTCATCATTTGAATCAACATGGGCTGCTGCCAAAGTGTCAATCAGGATTTAAAAAATTTCATTCAACTGAAACTGCACTGTTCGATGTATCGTCAAATTTTTTATAGTTATTGATTGACAGGAGAATTATCTATTAGCATTGCTCAATTTTAGTGCGGCATTTGACTGTGTCAACCATTCTATCTTATTAAGGAAGCTTCAACACTGTTTTGGAATTTCAGGAGGGATTGTTAGTACGAACTTATGCTACTAACAAGACACCTTGTTGTGAGTTAAAATAAATAAAACAAACACAATTCAGGCGTAATAAAATATTATCTTTATTCCCACGTGAATCTCGAACCGTTTTGTTTTACAAGCTATCAGGAAAAAGGGGAGAAATCGAGAGAGAAGCAAATACATAAAAATTAACATAGATTAGGTAACATTGAAAATTGCATTAATCTTTAATAATAATTAATACATAAGATAGTTAATAAATGAATGTTTGATCCCTACAGGATCATCAGGACCATGGTTTGAATCACACCTTTCTGTACGAAAGCACTAGATTTTGTTTAACAATGTTTTATCATCCATTCGAGAGGTTAATAATGGTGTGCCGCAGGGTTCGGTACTTGGACCTATACTGTTTCTGCTGTACACAGATGATGTATTAGATATCATTAACTCATTTTGGCTCTAAATTTGCGGATGATATCCAGATTGTTGCTAGCTGTGACTTGGCTTCAACACAACTCCTTGTCAACAGATTTTTTCAGTGTATGTCACAAATTGACTCTTGGACGATTGAGCATAAACTTAAATTATTAATAAATCAATGTAAAACACAACTCCTACCTGTTGGTATATGGCAGCAAATAAACAAAATACAATTTGATTCAATTAGCATCGGTAGCAGTGAAGTTGAATAATGTCGGTCGGCCCGCAATTTTAGAGTAATTTTTGATTTCTCAATGACTATGGACTCACACATAGGTAAACACTAGCTACGGTGTGTCATCATCGACTGTGGATGTTGAGGCTTATTAGGCTAATTGAAAGATGTCTCATTAGCTTAGCCCACGCATTTATACACACAAAATTAGACTACTGTAACAGTCTATGTTACAGCGTGTCAAAACAAGCAGTTCTGAAACTACAATCGATTCAAATCGTACCACAAAATTAATTGTCGGAGGTTTGAAGTACGATCATGTGACGTCAATTCTTAGGGATCTGCATTGAAAAAAAGAAGTTTGTCAAATTGCCGTTTTGGCATTTAAAGCGCTGAACGGATTGGTTCCTGGTTAACTGGCTGACAGATTGACTAAATCTTGCCCACAGCCTGGACGTCCGAAATTGAAATCAGGTGACATGAACTTACTGCATGTTCCTCAAACACGTCTGATGGCCAGCAAAAAAAAAACTTTGGCGTTACTGGCCCGGTAGTTTAAAACGGATTGCCACCGTTTCCTCTTTTCTGCAAGCAATGGAAACATTATCTGTTTAGGTAGTATTTTATTTCACGTGATTAATGTAATTGTAATGTAATTGCTGATGACGTGTTCTATAGATCGGTTTTCTTTTGATTGGAAACTGTTGTGTTAATATCATTTGCCAAATTTGTTTCTGTTGCCATGGTGTAACCATGGAAATATATATATATATATATACACATATATATATATATCCATGGGTGTAACATGGTTTTTTGTTTGTAACTTTTTTTGTATATTTATTGGTACTTACTGTTGTCGCTTTTGAGATCTTTTTATTTAAAAAGCGGTTTATAAATTTTCTAATAATAATAATAATTGCTTGCCTTGCTTCCAGTAGAGCGTACAATGGGTGAGATACGATAAAGGTTGAAAGTCTATTACACACTTTAAACCCGGTCACTGCACGCACTACGAAATAACTCAAAGCGACAAAATTTATTAATAATAAGAATTAGAGTCAAAGCCAAGACAACTACTAAAATTCACTAAACTTAAACCTAACAACTGTACCCTCACAAAAATCCACTGAGATCTATTGCTTAAACATGTGCAAACGTTCAACTTGTTCACCTAGAGATTTGTTTGATAAATATGATCGATCGTCTCGTCTTACCTGTCATCTAATTGAAACTTGATTTTCACATAAAAGCTATAAGGTTAAACTAAACCGCGGTAAGATGCAATTTTTTTCACCTATCAGTCGATGCGAAGCAACAGAATTCAAAAATTATTTATGAATCCATGATTATTATTACGATTGTTAAATTTTGTAAGACTGCACCGTACTCGAAATTGCACTTGGCATCAATTAGTCAAAATGTCTAATCAAATCATTCTCATATAAACTTCAACTCAATATAGTTAGAAAGCGTCCAAACAAAGCGACAATCAATGTTTTCATTCACTTCTTTTATACGTTGTTCTTTTTACTTAAAAAAAAAACTAAAATCGTGCAGTTAAAATTGTAGGGTTCGTAGGGATCAGCATATGCAAAATGCCTTGCCACAGACTTATTGTTAACTCTTTGTCAAAACTCATTACAAACATACAGTGACGTCGCTATCGCTAGTGTCGTTGTCACCCAGTGCGGTAAAATCATGGTGCCACCTCTCTAAATTTATTCTTATTTATTCACCATGTAATAAGTCAAAGTATCTCCATCTTTCTCGTGCTTTATCCTTTCAGGACATTGGCGACCATCGACCTCCACAAAACCTGATCTTACAATTACAATAGAAAGTTGCATCAGAGTTTTATTAAAACCGATTGCTTTTGCAATGCTAGTTAAAGTAGGCTATCTTAAAGATACCTTTCACGATGTTCCAAACCAGTCTGCACCTGCAGCTTTTTACAATTTTTCCGCAATTCATAAACCAGAACTTATCAGCATTCTGCAATTATTCCTGCAGAAAACTTTGATTCCAATAAATTTGTATGCTCAATTATATTTTCACTTCATAGCTAAAAAATCTTTTCAAAGAATCAGGAATAATCTCCATTTAAAACCTTTCTCTTAACTACCTATAATTTTAAAGGTTGTTAACTATTTTATTGCTATGAAATCGACAAACATAATATAAACAGAAAAACAGATAGTTAAGTAATTCACAAAATGAAAAAAGTGAAAATCAAATAACTTTATCGCTAAAATATAAATTGTAGTCCGTGCACAGTACGCGTATAATCTTCCCATATTAGTCCTGCACACTTTGCACGCGCACATATCGAACCCAACAATAAGTTTGACAAATTTTAGAATTCGTCAATGGTCACCATTTTGAGCAATGCAAACTCAACGAAAATAAATTTTTCTATAAAAAGATAGCCAAAAACCCAAAATTTTATGCAGTACATATCAGAATAAAATTCCATTCAACCAAAATGTTTTAAATGAAAAAATAAACTTTGCATGTCAAATATTCAAAAAATTGAGATTTCTCTTAAAATTCGTCTTAACAAAAATCATTTCAAAACATTATAGTAAGTGAAATTAGCAAAAACTGATGGACGATTTTAAATAAAATGAGACTTGTACTCTTGACGACCGACCCTAGACCTGCATTGCAGACGCAGATTTCTTAGCTTTCAAATTCAAGAATTTTCACTCACAATTTCTGTAGTCAATCTCTGTAAGTTGCACTTTTAGCGAGATCTTCAAATTAAAAATCTCAAAAATACCGCCAAGCACTTGAATAAGTTAGCTGATCAGATGACACACTCAGGGTTCCAACAATAATGACATGATTTATCTAACGAATTAAGATCATCGATGTCCTTTTCCGTCAATTGAAAATGAAAAATTTTTAAATTTTCCGCTAAATGTTCAAGATTTGTGGACTTGGGAATGACACCTGAAAGGGAAAAAAAATAACACAAGTGAAACTGTTCATTCATGAGAAGTTGGTTGACGTTCATAATTAATGTTATCAAACGATAAAAAATTATTAAATTCTATCTTTAAGTTTACTTTAAAAATTATTTATTTCGAAAAATGTAACTTGTTGCCAAACAGAATCAAAATAATCAGTGCACATTTCTAACCATAATAACAAAAAAGTACAAATTTGTAGTGTTGAATCATTTCATTTTTTTATTCTTTATGACGTAGCTCTGTCAAAAGCAGAGCTACTTAGATTCTATACTTTTAATTAAACTTTCGCGCCACAAAGGTTGTACACCATTCACATCACACGACGCACAAACACAATGCGTATGCACCTGCAAGTACCGCATTCTACGAGTATGATGGTCTTCGAGTTTTGGACAGATAGTATTCGAACTGTACCATCGCGTAATAGCAGCGCAAAACATGGCACATCTACCGACTGAGCAAATTCGGTGACCAGGTAAAAATGTAAATTAGGCCACTTTTTGTATGGGTACGATTGTAAATAACATATTTAAAAGATTCAGAAAACTTTTAATTTACCGTCGTTATGTCCATGACCAATTAACTTACTCAGATATTTTCATCAGCCACCTCGAAAATGGTTTATTCCAACCAGACTTCAGCTTATATCAAACCAACCAAGAACGGCCCCGCATGAATGTCCAGAATGATAAAAAATAGTTTCATTTCATCATAAGTTAGATGTGCATTCACTTATACAACCGATTGCAAAAACGTTCGAATTGGATGGGACAAAATAAAACCAAAATGAAATTTTGAGATTCTGATTTATCTTCAATATTTTTAATTGAATCTTCGACACGCACAACGCTGTATTTTCGAACTAAATTTACTACTCGTGCACTATCGATAGCGTTGCTTACGTTATCACCCTTCTCGACAGGGGCTGAAGCGGCATTTTTACTACCACATTCAACCTTCATTTCATGTGTTGGCAAGCTACTTTACACTAATTTGAATGTATCAGTAAATTTTCATTTCTTTCATTCACATTTTTCACATCATATTCATTGCGTGTCTTTGCAAACCGTTGAACATTTTTTTGAATGTCCACCATTATCTTCATGGCTGTGAAGAAACTCAATAACGGCCGGTTTCGTGTCGCTCAACATCTCGTTTGCAATATCATAACAAAATTTGTCGCATTGACATATTTTGCAATGTTCGGCCATACAAATGTTGGAAATTTATGTTTGACAGCACCAAGGAATACAGTGAACTGTTTATCTTTGTCAGAATTTAAAGAAAGGTCCGGCAGTTTGATTTACGATTTTTCCGCTTTTCGTTACAAAACATTTCGACTTAATACAATGCCTTCAACTTTGTAATACTTCATTAGCGCAACTTTCAAATTTCCATCACAGTTCCATAAGTAACGCAATAATCCATTCAAAATTAAATTTTCCGCTATCTTGACCGCAATCACAACTATATATATATATATATATATATATATATATAAACCTTTAACCCATTGTATAAACCTATCTTTGCAGAAGGGTATTTTTCCAAATTGTTTGAAGACGTAAAAAGTCATCCCTTTATATAAATCTGGTTCTCGTGATTTAATAAATAATTATAGACCTATATCCATAATCTCTACTTTTTCTAAAATTATGGAGAAAGTTGTCCATCATCGTTTATCCAATTTTTTAGATAATTATAATTTAATTAGTGATAGACAATATGGTTTCCGTAAAAACTGTTCTACTGAATTAGCTATATTCGATTTAAATCAATATGTTTTGAATAGTATTGAATCTAAGGATTTGGCTATTGGAGTGTTTGTGGATATATCTAAAGCGTTTGATACTGTAAGACATGACTTATTGTTAAAGAAACTTTTTAATGTTGGTATTAGAGGTTCCACTTATGAATGGCACAATATGTTTCAATGGGTGATTCCGTTTCTTCGTTTCGTTCCATCAAATGTGGTGTTCCACAAGGTTCCATCTTGGGACCACTTTTATTTAACATTTTTTAAATGATCTTACAAATTCATCATCACGCTTAAAATTCATATTATATGCAGATGATACAACGATTTCGTTGAATGGTAAATCCATAATCGAGTTAACTCAAGTGTTAAATGAAGAATTAGTTAGAATTTCTTCATGAATGAAATTCAATCAATTGAAGATAAATTTATCAAAAACCAAATGTATTTTGTTTGGTCCATCTATTGCATCTAACCTGATAAATTTTTATTGATGATAACTTAATCCCTAGAGTTCATTCAATAAAATTTTTGGGTATAACACTCTCAAGTAATTTGAATTGGAGGGAACATATTCTGGATATTTCAAAGAAAATTTCTAAGGGGCTTGCTTGGTGTTATAAATAAACTAAGACAAACATTTCCACAAAAAATTTATCCTTATTTTATTTATTGCATCATCGTTTGGGGTAAAAATACAAAATCACATATAATAATCCTTACTAGGTGTCAAAATTATTTTATAAGAATAATATATAATCTTCATATGTTTGATCATATAACTTATTTTTTCAAAAAACCTGGTATTTTATCAATTAATTATTTGTATAATTTAAGAATCTTAATATTTATTTATAAAATGGTTAAGTTAAAAATGTATATAGTTATTTCCATAAATTTATTATTAAATCTAACTCAATTGTTAAGAGACAAACTAGACATACCCCTGAATTTTATGTTTCAACTGTAACAACTGATCTGCTCTCTAATTCTTTATTTATTTATAGTATTAAATTATGGTCCTCCTTATCTTCTAATATAAAATTATTGTCTAGCATAATTAAGTTTAAGAAATCAATAATTATGCTGTCAAATTTTGAATATTTTTCTGCTGTTTAATTAAATATATAAAACTAAAGTTTATGTTAAATATCATTTATATTTCATCAATATGTTTTCATGACACTTTGGTTTTTATATTATGAACATTAAAATTATATTTTAATTGATTAGAACTTTAATTTTAGTGATTTTCATGTTAAAGTAAATTGAACAATTTCAGTTTTGCAACATCTCTTTTTGCTAATTATGTTATATAGTGTTTTGTTTATTTCTGGTCATATTACGTTATGTTATTTTTTTTTTGGAGGTGGCCATACAAGCATTGCTTCATGTCTCCATAATAAAAATTGTTAAATTGTTAAAAAAAAAAATATATATAATGTATATATATGCACATAACTAGAAAAATATAACGGCCTTCGCTCGCTTTAACGGTCGAACAAGGAGCTTACTTCCGAAGGGGAGTTAGAGGGTGATTTTTCATCGTTCGAGTCAAAAGTTCGAGTCAAAAGTTTAATAATTTCGAAATATTGCTTTTATTTAAAATGTAAAAATTTTAATTTTTTAAAATTGTTTTTCAATGTGGTAATTAATTACTTTTATTTTGAATAAATTTAAAAAAACTAAATCGACATTACCGAAAATAATTTAAAGTTAAAAAAATTGAGATTCTTTGCATATCCCTGCTTCAACCCATAAAAAAGTGTTGTATAATAATAATAAATAGGCCTCCCCTTGTGTGTGTATGTATATATATATATATATATATATATATATATATATACATATAAAGTAAATTATATTAGTATATTATCTATAATAATATAAATCAATTGCTGTTCGTTAGTCTCGCTAAAACTCGAGAACGGCTGAACGGATTTATCTTATCCTGGTCTTGAAATGTTCGTGAAGGTCTGGGGAGGGTTTTGTGATTGTGACACTTTACTGCTAAGTGAGCAAGAAATTTTCTCACTTTGATTATTGACAGTTTACGATGCAGAGGAGAAGACGACCTGACTTAGGTCGTCACAGTCAATCAAATGTTGGAAGAGCTAGCTCACGTGCTAGAGCTACCTCTGGTGCTAACCGCACTGATGACCAGAGAAAGACAGATCAAGAAAATAGTGGTATTGCTATGTCAGTATTGCGTTATTTAGTGAGTGATAATGAAGTTGATAGGCTTAGAATACAACGAGTTCGTGCATATCAAACACAACAACAGTAAACACAATTAACATGCGAGTATTTTTGCAACAAGATGAAGCTGCGAATGTGTTTGCAAAGCAGTTGTTAGACATTGGAAATAATAAAGTTGCGATGGATACCCCCCAGATACCGATGATTCCAACGGATTTACCATTCGATTTTAAACGCTTACAATTTCCAGTACGTCTGGCCTTTGCGATGACCATAAATAAATCGCAAGGACAGTCGTTAAAAGTTTGCAGAATCAATTTGGAGTTTCCCTGGACAATTATACGTCGCGAGTTCGCGCGTCGAAAAACCGTCTTTGTTTTAGTTAACTAACGCCGAATATGCTGTGATTTTTATCAATAATATATATATATATATATATATATGTGTGTGTGTGTGTGTGTGTATGTGGTGTGTGTGTGTATAATTACAAACGATATTCTGATAAAAACGTAAAAGAGTCGATTACTTAATAATTTTGATTCCATTTTTGGTTTTTTAGGATCTGTAATATGAATGTGAGTTTACATGCTTACATGCATTAAAATATTTAAAATATGCTCTCATTTTTACAATTTCTAATGTAACTGATCGTCTAATTTGGCGCAAAAAGTTGATGGCAAAGAAAACAACGTTCTATCTCGGGGAACCGGGTCTCTGGACGCAAAACGAAGATTGATTCTCATTTTTACAATTGTCACTGGTGATCATTACAAAAAAACCATATTTTCTTTTCGATTTCCAGATCATTTCTTTTCATTGATATCATTTCTTTGATTTCTTTGTTTTGATTTGATGAAATAAAAAGTGTCAAATGTCAAATATACATACACACATTGATGACCTTTATTATGCAGCACTGGCTTGTGTATAATTTCTAAGTAAAAATTAATTTTTTGCGACACAGAAGTTGTAACACCAACTCCACGATCGAGCAACATACGGATCACCACGCTACAATTATTTTATTATTTCAACTGAAAGCACAATAAATGGATAAATAAAAATAATATAGAAAAATAAAAAATAACCTATGTTTTGTTGGGCTGCCCATTTTAACAATACTTGTGCATTTGTTACGGCATGTTTTAAAGCAATTTGTCGCACCAGATTGTTAGATAACAGCTAGAAACACATAATAAAGTTAAGGGTGTTGACAAAAATTAAAATTTTCGATAGTTCTAACCAAATTATTACCCTGAGAACCTAAAGATGAATAAGCTTGCAGATGTAAGTTATTTTTTTGACAAAATTGTAACAATTTGGATTGTACCAAATGAGGATGATACTCAATCTGGAGGTTAAAAAACAATTATGAAATCGAAAATAAATTAGCAATCAAGGAAAATCATATAATTACTTGTAAAACAGATGGCTCAATCTTACAGTATTTATAAAGTTCTTCCAAATGCCTCATAGTATAATTAGAAACGCCAACAGAATTTATTTTTCCTGAAATTTTATTTACCATAACTATGAATCGCTTTGCAATCATCATCAATGAGCGAAATTGCACATGAACCTTCAATGACTAGTTTTTCCATTTCTTGCCAGGATTCGTTCCTTAACTTAATATTAATTTCATCTGAAGGTTTACAACCCTGGACTGCTGGCCAGTGAATCAAGAATAAATCCAAATAATCAGTTTGCAAATTTCTGAGTGATTGTAAGTAAAACACTCGACATCTTACGTTTCCATGATTTTTAGGACCTACAAACAGTTTTCAATAAATATGTAGAGAAACATCAAAAGATTTATAAATAATTAATAATACCAACCTAGTTTGGTGATTAGAAAAATGTCTTTTCTATTTAAATTATACTTTGGCAATAAAATTTTGAGAGCATTGCCAATACTTTCTTCATTTTTATAAACCTGAGCGGTGTCTAAATAATGTGAATATTTACAAAAAAGATATTTAATTTAAATAGAATTATTTAAAGGACGTCGTTGCATTCTGATTTTACTATAATAACACTTTATCTTCAAGGTGAAGTACAAATGGACCATTACCCAGTTTTAATCAGAATATCTTTCAATCTGACCTATCAGCTGTTGTCGACTCTGCTTCCTGCTCCATTAGACCTGAGTTGGCCCCTACCCTTCATTGGTATTTATTGGGTTTACTAAATCAACATGCTCCGCTTAAATCCTTAAAAATATTTTTGCTCTTTCTCACGAGGGGCACCAAGCACAAAGATAGTGTAAACATCTAGAAAAAAAAACTTCTGAATCCTTCGGCGGTGAAACACGCCTATAGGGTTGCAAAAAATCTAACCAAAGTCGCTGTCTTTAAATCTACATAAAGTTTAAATTTGTGAAAACTGATTCGAACCCACGTATCCTTTACCAATTGGCTAACGATGTCCTTCACAGCCACCCTGTCCATCATTATAACAAAAGGTTTCAAAAGATTTCAAAAGGTTTGTTAATTCCTTCGGCTCCCTTTTTCAGGAAAAAAAAATAAAAAAATTTATTTTTCAATATCCTCAGCAATTTCTAATTCCGGTCCTGTCTTTTTTCTATCGTGTAAGTATCAAAGTAAAATCTTCCTCTAATTTACAAGAACCGATCATAACGACATCACCTGTAAGACATCACCTATTGATCCAATCCAAACTTCAATATTTAAACAGTTCTCTTCCATTTTGGTACCAATCCTGGTTAAGTTCAGTTTTCAGCATAGAACGCGTTCCTTCATTCTATAAAACTGCTCAGGTTCTACCATTACTGAAGAAGCCATTGCTCGTTCCAGACGACCGACCAACTACCGCCCAAAATCTAACTTATCTACTTTTCTAAGATACTTGAACTCCTTATGCTGCGAAATGCGTCTAGCCTAGAACGAGTTAGATGTTCACAGTAATGCACCTTTGGTCGTGCTGAGGGATGGTGTACTTTATGTACTTGGACTGGCCAACCGTACTTGCGGGAGCAGGTCAAAAACATAAATACCAATTTCAAAACAGGCTTCAGAAGTTTTCTTAAATGAACTGGAGCATTTTCTCTAAGATGAGCTTTCACAATCAGAGCTATTTTTAATTTAATTCTTTCTGGCACGCAAAGACAGTTCAAATCATTTCGCATTTAGCTCGATATCAATTCAAACTTTATCTACTGTAAACTGTCCAGATGAGACAATTTAAATTCCATACAAAAATGAGCTAACTAATCAACTATATATACATATATATATATATATATATATATATATATATATATATATAACAATGAATGTGTTTGAAATAAAGAAAATCTGAACAAAATTCGAAACCCAACCAAATGATCTATAGCCATAGTTCAAGGCAGCATCAATTATCTGGAAAACATCATCACCTTTTAACTTGAATGTCCCAACTTAATGAACAAAAATTAAATATTAACTGTTTGTTTGTTTATCAATGACCATCAAAAACTAAAAATTATTTTAAATATGGTAATAAATCAGAAAATTTTAAATTCAAAACATGAAATACTAATTCAATTAATGCCAAAATTCACAATTACATTATTCACTTAACTTCGACAAAAATTTTGAAGTATCAAAGAATGAATTGAAAGAAAAGCTTTATAGGTTATAAAATATATAATTTATAAGTGTCAGAGAATAGACAAATATTAAAACTATGGTGAAAGTTTTCAATCGGTTTTCGATAGGTTTTAAGTGATTTCAACTTTCGAATTGATTACGATTAGGTGAATGAACTTGCTTAAGCTACTATTGAATCAGACTATATCCATTGAGCGTTTGGTTTTAAATCATTTTGAACTATTTTCATCGTCAATTATTAAATTTTATCAATTTTATAAGTTTTATACAAACTTTTTTATGAATACTTTTTTAAATTTTGGTTGGCTTTATTGCGATTACTAAGGCTCTCCGTTTGCATTCATTTGTAATTTTAACGGATTCGATTTAATCATCTTATTAAACCTTGTTGTATTATGTTAACAGAACTTGAATTATTTAAGGCTGTAATGAACTGGTGCTTTGACGGTCTCTCGGGCAATGAAGTCACATGGCTCATCTGGTGAAAGTGTAGTCATAATTGTCAAAAACTTTTTAAGATCGACATTAGTTGACAGGAGATTTTTCTAAGACCTTTGAAGTAAATAGGTAATTGATTTTCGCCAAAATCAAGCATCATAACGGTTGTAACCTATCAACGAGGATTATCTCCAATCATGAATACATTCTTCGACAAATTTCTTCAGATCTTGGAATTTTTAAATTTGTTCTATGGGTGCTTTATTATTCTTAAAAACTTGAACGTTCATCTAGAAAATCCACTTGACGCACATGCAAAGTCATTTATTTTTTTGTTGACATCATTTGTTTGTATCCAAACGATGTCAACAAGGTTGGGTAAGTATAGTATAGTTACTATTTTTTGATTATCTTTCATAATTTTCAAGACGCAAGTAATGCTGAAAACATACAAAATTAAAAAATATTTACACTGAAGCTTTTGAAAACCTATCCATGATCACAAACATAAATATCAGCCATAAAAACTCTTGAAATATTTTGAATATATTTTTAAAATTCAGATTCTTCCATTTTTAATTTCAACATTTACTTCATTTACTTTACCTTGAAAAGTTAGTGATGTTTTAAAATAATAAATAATTATATATTGGTAGTTTTTTTTCGTTTATTTAAAGTTAAGATGTATGCATGTTTTTGGCGAATAATTTAATAATATTAAATTTTATTAGAATTCTCATGTCTGCAAAACAGTCTACTGTGGTTAACTTTTTCCCAAAAAAAAAAACGAAAACTGGATGATGACGTAGTTAATAAAGTTGAAGAGTCAGCACACTGTTCTCAACAACAGATAAAAACTTCAGAATTATTCTTGATAACTAGACAACAATTGCAACAGGCAGATACAACAGAGACAATTAATCAATTTTTGAATTCAGCTTTTTCTCAATATGATGTTGATTTTTATGTTGGTAAAAGAACAACTGACGAAGAAAAGTACACCATATTAACAAATGATTGGTGTCCGGATAAAAATTACGTTTTTCCAGTGGTTAATCAAGTAAAACTACAAGACGTTCTAAGAATGCTTATCTAAATGAATTCAGACCTTGGTTAGCATGGAGTCATGTCCACCAAGGACCGTATTGCATTTATTGTGTCCTTTTTACACCTGATAATGTAGATAAAAGGAATCATATAACTTCTGGAATATTCGTCACTAGACCATTGAACAAATAATATAAGGATGTGAAAACAGACTGCACTTCTCATGTTTCTAAAAAGTATCACCAGACAACAACACACGTTTAGACGACATTTTCCCCGAGATCGAGGGTTGCCGTTTGGCTACCTATGATGAAACCGAAATATCCCTCGACGCCATTCCATCATAAGTAATTTATTTGGCTAAAAAAAAAAATATAAAAAAATAAAAAAAAAAAATAAAAAAAATAAAAAGTATCATCAGAACTGTGTAAAAATTTTAAAAGTTTTTTTGAGGCATTACGAGCAAAGGTCTAGTGGTATTGAAAAGCTATTTCAAAAGCAGATTGAAGGAAACCGCAGACGGTTAATACTTATTGTAGAAACAGCGCATCATTGTGGAAACCAAGGAATTGCTTTACGTGGTAATCGCAATTAACAAACCACTTTCCACCGAAGAACCAGAGGAGAACGATGAAAATTTCAGAGAATGCTTAAGGCTACGTTTATTAGCTGGCGATGAAAACCTAAAATCTAAAATGGCATCTGCAAACAACTTCAAGTTCACAAACCTATCTAAGTTGGAAGATACAAAATGAAATTATAGCAGTAACTCATTATTTAATGAGAAAAATGTTGTAAATAACGTCGATGCTGCTGGATTCTTTTTTGTGCTCTGTGATGGAACTATTGATTTTTCTATTAAAGAACAGCCGACAATTATTTTAAAATTTGTTAGAGATGACTGTATTCATGATGACTGATCGTCTAATTTGGCGCAAAAAATTTATGGCAAAGAAAACAACGTCCTACCTCGGGGAACTGGGTCTCTGGACGCTAAACGAAGATTGTATTCATGAATGCTTCGTTGGTTTTCAAGAAGTTCAAAATATCACAGGTGAAGGCATTGCTAATGAGGCATTGAAATAAGCAGAGATTTATATTGAAAAGATGAGAAGTCAAGAATATGACGGATGTGGTTCAATGGCATAAAATACAACTGTTTGTGCCAATGTACATCTGTAACGCAGAATATGAAGACTTATCTGAGACAGTAGAATTCTATAAACAAAACATCTCAGGAAATGAAAAAAAAAGATGAGATTGTTTGTTGGAAGGCAAAATGGCATCGAGAAAGAAACGAAGGAAAAGACATTCCAAGTAATGCAATAGAGACATTAACAGCAATCAGTATTTCACAAAGGATATTTTATCCTAATTTCTACGTTTTGATAAAAATTCTTGCAACACTACCAGTCACTACAGCATTTGCATAAGACAATTAAAAAGTTATCTTAGGAACACAATGTGCGAAGAACGGCTAAGTGGACTGGTGATGATGCAAATTCAAAGAAAAAAGGTGCCCTCTGCAGATGAAGTTCTTGATCAACTGGCAAAATCGAAAAGAAAATTTGACTTTGTTTTGTAAAATTTTTAAAAATAATAAATATTTTTAATCTTAATAAACATTTTAAACATTTTATTGTTTGAAATAATACCTGGTCTGGAAAATTAACTTGTCTGGTTTTGAATGAGTGGTTGTTAAGTTGTGTCTTACGTGTTACAAAAGTATTTTATTTGCCCCCTCCCCCCCTGAAAGTTTGGTCTAGTTGCGCCACTGCATACAACCATTTTAATATTTAGATGAAATGACACTAACTGAAATTGAATCTACTGATCCTCCATTACACTTTATAAAAAATTGTTTGTAATGTAATGAATAAAAAACAATAACATGGTTTAAACAGACAAAGGAATGCAAAACAAAAATGATATGAAAAGAAACTTACGCGATATCATTGGCATTGTAAATCCAGAGTTCAATAAAACTTGATCAAAACATTTCATGTTGAAATTTAAAATTGAATGTTAAAACTTTAGTTTTAAAAGAACCTGTTAACATTTTACAAAGTAGTGACTAATCAGAACTGAAAAAAAAGTGAACATAAGAGAAAATATAAAAAGTTAAATCCTAATTTTTGACTGAATCGATATAAAATGTTGAAAACTTTTTAAAAAAACTTTTAACAATTTTGTTGCCTCTCCCTCTCACTAAATTATACATATATTTAAATTCTTTATTATATATTATATTATATTAATTTGTTAATTTTGTTGCTCTGCAGTTGCTTTAAAAACTGTAAAGATTGGTTAAAAAACTTGAATTAATATTATAAGTTGGTTATTTATTGGATATTTATTGGTTTTTAAATTGATTTTTGAACTGACAATCACGTTTTCAAAGTTTTAGTTTAAACTTGTCTTGCTTGGAAATCATTTTACCTATATCATGCTTGGTTTATATTTATAATAATTTATATTCTCGCATATATCTGTTAGTAAATTCTTAATTGTATTTAATATGTGAACAAACTATGGTGTGGAAAAATAAAATACAGAAAACTACTCACAAAAATTCCTTATATATTATTTTTTTAAACAGTGGCGGATCTAAGCGGGGGCGTTATTTGTGTTTGTTAAAAACCTAAAAGTTAGTCAAAGTTATTGTTTTAACAGAAAAAGTAGTGTTTTTGGAGGAAAAATTTATATTATAAACCCCAAAAATAAAAAAAAGGCATGTGACTTTTTTTATATTATAAATAAATGTAAAACTATGACAGTATCTTAATATTTTAGTATACGTATACCAATATAAAACGAGTAGTATTTCAGAATGAAATTAAAATATACAAACTGAATACTAAAGGAAGAGCGTAATACACCTCCAAGCTTAATCTTTTCAGGCTAAATGACTTTGTATCGCAGCTGACGAATTCACTTTTAAACTATAAATAAAGTTAATTACGTTAGCGACGATCCGCTTTAGCGACGGTTAACAAACGTCACGACTGTTTTTGGGTTTTTTCGATTTGTACGGTTTTAACCACAGATATTTTTGCACACTAACATATCTACATAAATTTGCCGAATATGTTCACTGATGTACCAATTTACAATAAATATATATATATATATATTATAAAATACCTAATGTGGTATTTATACTTATAGCGTGCTTGTTTGGTTTGTATTAATGCAAGATTAATGAGGGATGAGACTGAAACCTTAACAAATATCACGTGACCAATTTGAAGCAGAATTTGATTATAACATTTTAGATTATACCTTTTATAGACAATACATAAAAATCGTTAGAAAACTACGCATCAGAATCTGGTAAAATGTTTACTGGTGATCACTGAATTAAATATTATGAAGCGTTTGATCTAACGTTGTCCTGAGCATCAGAACACAGTATTTTTATTTTGAGTTGAATGTAGTTAAGGATTTTTTCAGTTTGATACATCAGTTTATGTTAAAGCAACTAATGCTAATTCATGCTTGAAAGGACTTAGCGAACGCGCAGAAAGATACAAAAAAGCGTCATGGTAACCCATGTAACCTGAACAATCAGTCACTGCAGCTCTGTTGCTATTGCAAAAAGAACTTAAAAAAATAAAACAGCTGCTTGTTGATAACCGGTATATGCAATTACCAACAACGTTCCAAACAACAATGAACACGAAGATAATGGCAACCCCTCCAACACGTCTAATAACTTTGATAATAACAGCATCAAAAGCCTCACCACAAACAGTAATAACAATGCTTCAAATATTGGAATGACAACTACCACATTGTCAAGACGTTTGACCATGCATCTACAAAATGGAGCTATTAAACAACATTATCAACAACAGCATAACATCACTTTAACACGACAAATATTAAATAACACGCAAATAGTTTATTGCAATAACAATATCACAAACCTGAAAATAGCTGAATCAATTTTCATACAAAACAAAAATCCCTCCATGAACATTCAAGTAAAGTCAAACCTTCAAATAGACTACTAAATAATTATAACAACAAAAATTACGACAACAGCAATAATGATAACAATGTTATCACCAACAACAGTGATGATGTAAACAACAATCATACCAATAGTGACAACCTTAACAACAACATCAACAACACCAACAACAACATCAACAACAACATCAACAATAGCAACAACAACAACAGTGCCAACACTGTAGATACCAACGCCACAACCCATTGGCTGATCGTTGGTATTTACCTTAACAACTATGATATAAACAATCTTGCCGTTAAAATTTTGAAATCGCGTTTTATATTGTTTAATGTTATTAAATTTATTTTATTCGTTTTCTGTTTTAAATATTATATTAATTAATAATTATTTGTTCTTTCTTATCTTATCAAATATCTTACAGACATTATATATAATGCACTGAAGATGAGTTATCTATAAATAACTCGAAATAGCTATCTGCAAATTTATTTAATAAAATTTTTTTAAAACAATAAAATGTCTAATTTTTCTGACATAAATAAACTGAAAAAAATTATAAAAAAAGTTGAACAATGTTGAAAATAGTGTTGAATTTTTGAAATTTATATATTATTATTATTATTCAAAACAGCACGGGCAGAGTCCCTTGCCAAACAAAAATATAGAAATTCGAAAATATAAACCATAAATAAATTAAATAGGTAATGTACATAATAAACTTATCTTATGTATATAAATAATGAAACACAAGTCAACACAACAAAATAAAACAAACACAATTAATTAATTAATCGTTAACAATTAAGACCACCGAAAAAATGCATACAAATCTGAAACCAATGAACTGTTAAGATGATAACCATTGAATGTATATAGTGTAAAAGATGATAACTATTGAATGTATATAGTGTAAAAGAAACAATTATGAATTCAAGCGCCAATCAAATATGGAGTCACCAAAAAATGACACGTTTGGCATTAATATGATAATATTAATATGTTCGTTTTTTCGATTTTTCTCACTAAAGTTTTTTGGTGAACGTTTAGTTTATTAAAATTCAAAATAAACTTATTTTCCGAATTCATGCTGCAAATAAGGCCATATTTCGATTCCGAATGAATCATCATCAGTGCGATTTATTTTATATAGAGAAATATTCACTTCGTCAAAGTGAACTTAGATGGGAATTAGGTGTCAGTTTTCTTTATTGGCTGGTCCATCTTCGTTGGTTTCCTTTTCTTCATCGATAGCATCATATTCTTCTTTGTCACTATTTACAATGCTAGTTTTTATTACTTCTTTGTTTTCATTGTTGATTAAGTGCCGGGTTGGGAGTGAGGTTGTCATTTTTTGTTGTATATTAATTTTTGGTTTATTGATGTCAATTAGGACTGCTTCTGCAATTTTAAGATGCGTGTAGTTGGTGTTCTGGTATTATATATATATATATATATATATATATATATATATATATATATATATATATATATATATATATATATATTGTCAGAAATGCAATTATTGATGAAAATGACAAATATTCGAAAATCTGGCTTCTAATAGAATATTTACATCAAAATGTAAAAAAATGCAGAGAAATAATTTTTTTAGATGTACGAGTGAATTAAAAACAGCGTTCGCAGAACGCATTAATTATCGTCCGGCTGGGCGCATGCGGCCCGTGGTCCGCAATTTGCCCACCACTGGTTAGACCGTAAAAGCAGGAAACTACGATGGGTGAAAACATGTGTTTCTGCACACACACTCACACACACGCACGCGCACACACACATTGAATAATTTAAGTTGTTTACGTTCAGCAAAGCTAGAGATTAAAGGTTGTTCAGGCAATATTATTTTCTTTGGTATTGACGTCCTGTGAAACTTCATTAACGTTGTAATGTTTTGATGATCGTTTATCGTTTATTTTACTTTAGTTTTTCAAGTTACAGTGAAGCTTCTTTAAAATAGAATAAGTTCTGATGAAATGTTTGATGTTTTTGTAATAAAGTCAAAGACTGTTTTAAAAATAATTTTTTGCACGTTATTGTTTTTTTTCAATGCCAATGACTGTGCAAAAATATTGCTCTTTCCGAGTCGAATAAAATCACATAATGGTTATTTTGCTAAATTAGGGAAAGGGCTCGCTAAAGAGGGTCATCAGGTTGACATGCTCGTAGCGTACCATGAAAATAGAAAAACGGGTGATGAAGAACTTTTAAAAAACACTGCTTCTAATGCTAATCATAATGGAACGTTTACTTTTATTTATTACAAGGTTAAAAGTGAAAATGCTTATGTTGAAAGTCCTGAAATGAACAGATTACTTTTAGAGACAGCCTTAGGTTCTCCCATCAAAAGATTCATAAAAGCTTTGAGTTTAGGATCTATTGTAACGAAGCAACTTGTTCTGGAATGTACAGACGTAATGTCAAATTTCGAACTTCGCACGCAGTTGAACAACACTGGCTATCAGTTTGTGGTGATTGACCCAGTAGCGCCACAGTGTTCTCTTTTTTTACCCATTTCCATGGATGTTCCTTATGGTATATTTTCAATTTCATGGGTAGCTTGGATGTTCAGAGTACCAAGACTTCCGTCATTTACTCCATTTCTTGGTGATAAAAATACTGACCGAATGAACTTTTTTCAAAGGTTTATAAATTTTGTTGAAGATTTTTTGATGTTAACGACGTTTTTAGGTTATGATTTGTATGAAGATCCATTTATGACCGACAACACAAAGTTTAAACATTTAACATCAGTCGATCTTCTTAATAAAGGCTCTCTTTGGCTTTTTCTGGAAGACATTGCGGTGAGTTATCCAAATGTTCAAATGCCAAACACAATGAATATAGGAGATATAATAATTGACTCAACGTATAATTCTATGCATAGCAAAATGCCGACACAACTAAAAGTTCTTGTAGATTATTATTCTCACTATGATGGTTGCGTTATAATTTCATTTGGAAGTTTCATGGATGAAATATCAGATTTTTTAATAGACCGTTTTTGCGAAACATTCAAATACTTTCGTCAAAATATTTGCTTTATATGGAAATTAAATAAGTCCGCCAAAAAAATCTGTCCAGATGTAACCAATGTTTATACCATGAAATGGTTACCACAAAACGAATTGCTAGCGAATCCCACAATAAAATTATTTATAACACACGGAGGAATAAACAGCATAATAGAATCTGTTTACTACGCTAAACCGATGATTATTCTGCCGATTGCAATTGACCAACATGGGAACGCTGCGATGGCAGAGTCTAAAGGGTATGCTTTGGTCATGAGCTTGTCAGCGTTTACATCTCTTGGCATGGTCGAGAATGTAAAGAGCCTTCTTAAAAACGATTCTTATAAGAAAGCGGCCGAATTCTATTCACTCATCATGAAAGACAAATTAGTAAAGCCGGAAATAAGAGTTTCTCATTTAATTAATCACGTTATAAAATATGGGGACAATCATTTGAAAACGTCTGCTTACCAATTGAACTGGTTCCAGTTTTTCATGTTCGATATTTTTCTGGTTTTTATATTGACAATTCTTTTCATTTTAACCGTTACTTTTATTTTTGTGTGGTGTGCGATAAAATTTTTGTGTAAAAATCGTTCAAGTGACAAGAAAAAAATCAAGCGACATTGATTTATATGAAAGTTATTTTCCATAAACATATTTTTGTTTGTTCATGGAGTTTATGCCTTTTTGCCGACATATATCTTGCTTGTTTTTATATTTTATATTTTTTTCATTTTGTCTACCTTGTCATTTGCAACCATTTTACAAAAATATTTGTAAGTTATCGCATATTTTTTCTTTTATTAGCTCAAAAAAGTAAACAATTTTAACAGTGCCTTAACTTTAGTGAACTGAAATAAATAGAATCCCATATCTCTATTAATTTATTAATGGCCACAAATGGCAATAACGCTCGTAATGTACACTCTACATTTCAGGGCAATACAAACATAGTATGCTAAATAAATCAGTGGAAAAGAAATTTTAACAAAACCATTTATGAGAATATAATTAACTAATGATAAACAAACCATTACTTATTGTACAATGATCAGAGAATTTTAAAAATATTATGTAACAAAACATATCTATATGATTTATATTATTACTGACAAGTAATTTGTACATAGAACGACAAAAGCCAGAACCTATTTAACCACACAAGTACTCGCCATACGAGCACATCATACCTTTTAATGTCTGATATATTCTCCACTTTATAAATATTCAATAATAATCGCAATAATGATAATAATTGTAACGCCAACAACAATATAATGATAAAATAATAATAATACCTATTAGCAATTCACTAGTAAATAGGCTTCAAAGTGCAGATTAAAAATTCATTCAGTGAGATGCAATTGTCATATTTGATAATAAAAGTAGTCATATTTATTCAACTCACTGTACCGTTGCTGTCATTCTTTATATAAAAAAAATTGTCGTCTGCAAACATGAAGCAATTGAAAATCTAGATAAATCATTAACGAACAGAAGTTAAAGAAGAGGCCCAAACACGGAGCACTGCGGTGCCCCGTGTGTTAAGGGTAGAACTTTTGAGCTATTTCTTAAGTCTAATCCAATCCTTCCAAACAAACTGTGATATAATCTTTTTTTATATTATTATTCTTTAAAAATCAGGATCAATCAATTAGCTTTTTGAAAACAGATGGGTCTTGCGATCCGCTCTGAACTTCGCGAGTGATGGAGAAGTAGTCAGAGAAGTAGGTAGAGAGTTCCAGAAAAAAGGACCAGAAAAAGCAAAAGTAGATTTGGCAAAAAAGTGTTTAACACGAGTTAAGAAGAAGCGAGAAGAAGTAGGCGATCGTAAACCGGGGCGTTTAGATTCAATTAATATATCTGATAAATACTTAGGAAATAATTTAGATTGAGACTTATACATGAACGTGCAAATTTTAAAAATTATTCTATATTTTATAGGTAGCCAGTGCAAGAGAACAAGATATGGAGATATATGAGAAAAGAAAGGAGCACTAGCAACTCGACGAGCAGCAGAGTTAAAAGCTTTACTTAAAGGATAGAGTATAGAGTCAGGAAGACCATAGTAGAGCGAGTTACAATAATCAATCCTAGATAAGACTAACGAAGTAACAAGAAGGAGAAGAGTAGGATCATCAAGAAAAGGCAAGTTTTTTTTATTCTACGTAGATGAAAGTAAGAGCTTCTAGCAACACTTAATCTGAGAAGAGAGAGACACAGTAGAATCACAGGTAAAACCTAGACTACGAAACTTATGAGAGACATCAAGAGTTTTAGAATCAGGTAAGATAAAAGGAGGAATAGTAATAGAGTGTTTAGATTTATTAAAACAAATTAATTCAAACTTAGAAGGATTAAGTTTAAGACACATAGAGTCAGACCAAGCGATAATTGAAGAAGGACATAGAGATAAATTATGAAGAACACTATTGAGATTAGATGGAGGAAAAGAAGTATAAACATGAAAATAAAATAGAATAAATTAAATAACTAATAAATAAATAAAAGAAAATAAAATAAATTGACAATAAAATGAAGTAATGGCATAAAAACGCAAATTAATAGACTAGATGATGACTTAGTGAGTTAGTGAGATGGTCGATAAATAAAAACTAGTTGTGTAAATGATAAAGTTTATTTGAGTGTTAATATATTTGAGGTGTCTTGTGATGTAAGTTTTTTCCTGATATGTAGATTGGGTGGCGACTTGATAGTTATGTTTTCCCTGACGAAGGTTGTATGTTGTAGTTTTAATTGGTGGTAGAAGAAGATGGATAACGTGGTTGTTGTTATTTTATATTTTCTTGAACAGTCTTGAATCGAGTGTGTTGAATATCTGAGTGTCGGTAAGATATGATGCAGGTAGATAGTTGAAGCGGATTAGTTTTTTGATGAGGGAGCTGCATATTTAATGCGTGAGATGATGAGTGATTCAGTGATGTCGAATAATTTGATGCCTCTGAGACCATGTGAACGCAGTGTTTTGAGCGCTTGAAATGTTTGAAAGTTTTTTGTGATGATGTGATTGATATGAGATGCTATATTAAGTGTAGAGGTGGGTTTGTATGTGTCAATTAATTTGCAATTGATTTTTTGAAACATAAAATAATTATTCATTTTGCAGATTAATCGTCAGTGAAATAAATTAAATACTGTAAATATACTGTCTTTCTAGGACTAACGATAAAACAGTAAATGGTAAAGGAATATTACTTAGGCGTCTATGGTATGTGCGTGTGTGGTGTGTCATGGACTTTTAGATCAGTGGTTCTTAACCTTTGGGTCAAGACTCATTCGGGGGTCAAATGATGATTTGCCAGGGATCACCTTAAATTATCGGAAATTTGATTTTTGACTCTCTTATATTGTGTAATTGTACAGTTTGTGAAAACTTTTTTTGAGTAGATTATATTTGTGCCTGCAACGACTCAACATTTTTCATATGTGACTACTGATTGGTTAATTTACGAAATTCTGTCTGGCTGACCCTGTTTGCTGCACTTGGCGAAACTCCATTGCAGAAAATTTTGATTGAAGTTGTTATAGAAACGTAATGAAAAGAGTTTATATCGAGCATGTTTATAGCGATGCAGCGAGGCGTAATTTCTTTTCAATGTCAGTTATAAATTATGCCCAAGAGAGAAATAGAAAAAACAAATGACGAATGATTTGTTTTTAAAAATGAAACATTTTATCACAACACAAAACATTTTTAATAACAATATGTAATTCCAAAACAACAAAACAAATTTTTTCAGAGCCTATATATATATATTTTTTATATTTTTTTGTTTGCTGGACCTAAGCTGTGGGACAATACCACTCCAAGCAACATAAAGAACATTGCTAACATTGTTTTGTTTAGAAAAAAGTTATATGAGTTTTTATTAACAATTGACCCATCATATAATAAATATATTGTTCAATTTTATTATCATATTAATTTAATTTCATATGTCGAGATATTCGTTTATTTTGTTGCCACCCATTTATGTCGATTTACTCTTTAAATCTCATTTCACTGTTTTGGTTGCATTTTGTCAAAGGACGCATACTAAATACATATTACTTAACATAATAGTTCTGACGTTTATATTATTTTTCCTCTTCTCTTTCTTTCCCATTACGGATGTGACACGGTGGCCTATTTATTTATTTATTTGAACAAAGCACGGGCTATTGCCCATTACCGAATGTACAGGAAAAAAAAATACATAGTATTATACATGCATACCACGATACATTCGTACAATTGCTTCACAAGTATAACCACGAAGATAATGCAGATTGAAAATAATTTCCAAAAACAATAAATTAACACTAACAGTGTCTTGGGTGTCACCATAAATGCAAACTTATAAACCAAGATATAATAAAATACTTTATCCATCTAACCCATTAATCCCATCATACACCTGAATAGCATAAAATTAACTACACATTTCCCATGCAATAGAAAAAATAAACAAACATTCATGCGTCCATCTAATTTCCTTAACCTCCCCTACCCATGTACCAACTCATATACCCACCTACTCATGAATCATTAATTATTATATCAGATAATTATATTAGAACCTAGAAATTTCATTAACTATTTACCAATCAATAAAAAAAACCAAACAATCATATGAAAAACAATAATAATAATAAGAAAGTTATGAAATCAATACAAAATATAATTAACCAAAAAATTTATAAATGAAATATACAAGCTATACAAGTTATTTTTCTTATTTGGTCTCCGAAGATTTATTTATTTATTTATTTGATATTTTCAGTGACGAATTAAAGAAAATTGTTGATATTCTATGTTGTTCGTCTTTTACTGGTGCTGCCTGAGCACTATCATGTTGCACCGTGGTTTGATGATGATTGCAAGGCTTTAAAACGGAAATGTAGAAAAAAAGAAAGGACTTTTAGAAATAGTCCTAAATTGCCTGATAAAAATGAATGGATATTGGCCCTTAAAGGAAAAGCTGAAATTTGATCAAACAAACGTAATGTATATTGGAAGAAAGTTGTCTCTGAAAATAATAAAACTCCAAAAAGCTTGTGGAGGGTGGTTAATAAAATTTTTCTAAACAGTCACAGTGAAGGCACTAAACGTGAATTCAATGATCTCAGTTCATGAATTTCTTTAATGAAAAAATTAAAATGATAAAACAGGAAATTGACACTGAAAATCAGTCTTGTCTAAACAGTGATGATCATGGATGTGAGCAGTTGTTTTCGACTTTTCTGGCGGTGTCTGAGGCTGATGTCAGAAAAGAAGTGTTTCTTTCACTTACAAAGTCTTGTCAACTGGATATTTTACCAATACGTTTCTTTAAAAAACATTTTGAATTGTTCTGTTCATTTATAATCTGTTTGATAAATTTGTGCATGAAGGTAGGTTGCTTCCCTACACGTTGTAAACGGGCAATTGTTGTGCCGTTGTTTTAATTTTAATAAAATAACTAATGACGACAAGAATTTGGTTAAAAATATTGAAAAATGTAACAAAAAACTATCCAACGCTAGAAATTCTGTAGATTTCATAAATTATATATTACCATATATACATATATATATATATATATATATATATATATATATAATATGCATCTATCTATATATGCGTATTATTTATTTATTTATATAACTTCCTAATGTGTGTGTGTGTCTCATTGTAACGTTGAATAAATTAGGATTTAACTACAGTTATACTTAGATATATCAAAGAAGAACTGTTTGTGTGTGTGCAAATGTCTGCGTGTGTTTGTTTGTTTGCATTGTGTTAAGCTAAAAAAGTGCATCCATTCAAGAGCTTCGAATTCCTATTGAACCGCTATAACATAATAACTGCTCTTCAGTCAACTCACATTGAGATCGGTTGAATAGGTTTTCATAAAAGCTTTCATAATTATATATATATATATATATATATATATATATATATAGGATATATAGGATATATAGACTACATATAGATAGATACATGCATATACATAAATAACATGTGATGTGATTATATGTATGTACCTATAACATATGCTTCTATTAAATTAATTACATTAAAACTTACATTTATCTACGCTGCTTCGATAGGACTGAACTTTTTGTACTTTTTAGTATTTGTTGTTATATTCTTTGGTGTTTAGCCATGAAGAAAGCTTAGAAATTATAAAATAATATTTACATGAATAGGAAATGTTTAATTGTATCCTGATTAGAAGATATTGATTGGTGTGATACAAATGTAAGCAAATTGATGATGTATTAATTATGAGAGAGTTAAAGTTGTTTGAAATTAATGATGCTGCTTGGTAGAGCTGAATGATTGAGTTGACTGCCACGTTGTGGTTCTCTTCTTATGTATGATTAATTGGCTTTTGTTATTTTCCATCTGACTCTTAATGATTTTCTGAAAATCTCAACCCTGCTTTGTAATTATGAACTATTATATATATATATATATATATATATATATATATAAAGTATAAATATATTTCAAAGTTTCAAAGTTTTTTTCAAAGTTTTATTCATAATCAACAACATATCAAATAAGTGAATAAAAGTTATGAAGTTGAATATGCGGAGACCGAATAAGACTGTTTGTCTTGTGGTGAGTATATAAGTATATATATATATATATATATATATATATATATGAATAGGAATAAACTTAACTTAAATTTCTACTTATATGAATCAAAATGTTTCTGCCAGCAGTAAATAACATACGTAGATATATATATATATGATATATATATATATATATATATGTATATATATATATATATATATATATCTTTCTCTCTCTCTCTCTCTATATATATATATATTCCATTTGTATTAAGATATTATAAATATTTATATAATAAAATAGGTCTCAAGATAATACTAAATTAATAAATTTTTAATTTATTTTATATCATTGAACAGAGTGAACACAAACGTAAATAAAAATTTTTTTAAAGTTTTTTAAAATTTGTCAAGTTCAAAACATAGTTAGCGTGCTCACGTCACTCAATACAACGATGACAGATCTCATGGAAACACTGAGACGACATTTCACCTCAAACACCAACAACAACTACAACAAAACAAACAACAACAAAACAAACAACAACATCAAAAACAACAGCCCAAGTCGTCGAAAGAATGTGCGAGATTGCCTTTCCAAGGACGGCGAAGACTACCTGAGGTCCTTTGGCAACGAACTGCACAACTCATTCATCGTCACTCGCGAACACACCAGCAACATCTTCAAGCAAAATCTTTTCGAATACGGCTTGAAAAATGATTTCAAATTTGGCGCTAAGCCTACAAAGAATTATTTTTTGCAAAACATGGCTACCCTGCCAAAGAGGACCCGATCGGCAAAGAAAACAAGTTTAATGCATGAAGAAGTTACCAACTCAGACAAACGAGGAACTATAACAACTGCAGATGCCATCAAACAGGTTGGCAACGCTGACGTGCGACAGTTACAAATTGACCACGTTGTTCTGAACGGCTGCGAGGCTACTTCTACTTGTATGAATCAAAATGTTTTTGCCACTGACATCAACATCATCAACTACAACAATAACGCCATCATCCATAACAACTACGAAATTTTTGAACACCTCATAAACATTAACAACGACAATCACATCGACAATAACATTTCCAACAATGACGTCATCAACAGTAACAACATCATAGCCAGCAACAAACAAATTATCAACACGGACAACCCCATGTACAACAACAAAAACACAACTAACAACAAAATAAACAACAACACAAACAGCATAGGCAACAACACATCTGACAACACAAACAAAGACACAACAAAGAACAACGTAGCTAACGAGAACAACATTAGACACATTTTAGTCGACAGTATGGCAATCGACAACAACACCAGCTCAACTGCGCAGTATCTACCAGCACTAAACAGCAACAACATTTTTTCAACAACAAAGGTGCAACGTTCAACTTCTCTTTTTTTCCTATTGTATAATTTAACATCGCTAACTAAAAATTATTACAAGCTTGCAATTACGAATGAAAAATTTATTTTCTCTGATTACCAACAAATTATTTTTTAATTCCATTTATTCACAAAAAAAATAAACAACGACACAACAAAATTAAAATTGTTGTTAAAATAATTCTTGCATTAAACTTATTAATTTTGTAACAATTGTTATTATTTTTGTTCTTATCATTCTGCTTCTTCAATTTTTTAAAATTATTAATATTACTATTAGTAGTATATTTATTATGATTGAATTCTGGTTTGTTTGCAGCAATTATCTGAATGTCATCAAAGTATGCATGGCAAATCAGACCAAATGACTAAATGATTGCAAGAACATCTGTTGCTACTGTTAAAAGTTGAGCGCTATATAAAAAACAAACCAACAGCTTATAAGTTTCCTTTACAATTCTAAACATTAATCCAAACTATAATCTAATCAAAATTGAATACAAAATGATGGAAGACCAAATGACAGTCACCGATAAAAACGTTCAAAATATTTTTAAAATTGAGAAACTATTAATAGGCAGTAGCCCAACTGAAGGAGCAGTCCAATGCATGTGGACGCGCATTTGCTTGGGCACCGTTCAAATCATCTTTAATAGGTGCAGCCTTGCCCGACCACTTGGTGATTTTTAAAAACTACTTGAAACGATATCAACTCGATTTATCTCAGCACGTTGGCAGTTAGCGTGTAGGCAGGAAACGCAACCGTAATAATTAATTATGTCATTAGAGAGTGAAGCTGATGCCTGCTCAGCATTTACAATATCAGAAGTTTTGTTTTCCAGAAGATCGAACGGTGGAGAGGAAAGTTTTGAACTCCTTCGAATGATACTTTTTGAATAATTTTGCACAAATAATTTAAAAATAATTTTGAATTATTTTAGGACAACATTATTAATGTTCTAAAATGCTGCATCACTTGAATGAAAAATAGATCAAAATGTTTCGTCTCATTTCTGGAGCTGGTTTGCCTGAGCATGGGCACCGATACTGATTTTTTTGCTTTTAATTTTATGTACCCCGTTGTGACATTGTTATATTCTCATTACAAAATATCCAGAAAAACTTATTTCGGACGAAAACAACACTGCCACCTAGCAACAAACAACATCAACAGCAACATCATCAACATCAACAATATCTACATCAACAGCAACATCAACAGCAACATCAACAACAACAACTGCAAGAACAACAGCAACAGCAGTTTGTCAACATTAGCAATAATCATATTAGTAATAAAGATAAAAACTATATTAAAATAAGTAACAATGTCAACAACAATCATAATTCTTCAAAGTACCGAAACAACAACCCACCTTACAATAATAATACCACACGACCAAACATCAACAACAACATCACTAACAACATCAACAACAACATCAGTAGCAACTTCAACAGCAACGTAATAGGTAACTATAGACTACTCCGAACTTTAGGCAAAGGAACGTACGCCAAAGTGAAACTCGCTGAACATTGGCCAACTGGAATTGAAGTATTATCAACATTTCATTCATTCATTTGTTTTTTCATTCATTCTTTTATTTATCTATTCATTCATTCATTTGTTTAATCATTCAATTGTTTATTCATTCATTTGTTCATTCATTCGTTTATTCATTCATTCATTCATTCGTTCATTCATTCATTCATTCATTCGTTCGTTCGTTCATTCATTCATTCATTCATTCATTTATTCATTCATTCATTCATGTGTGTGATGGGTAGGAACGGGGGTTGGTTTGTAGTATGTGCGGTGTGTTTGGTTGTGTAGACACCGCTGATGCAAAAGGCCTTTTTGCAGATTTGTTTTTATAGCTTAGCTAGTACTATTTAAAATGAACATATTATGATTTTCATTTCAAACGACAGGTGGCCGTGAAAATAATCGACAAGCAACGAACACGGCCAAGCGATTTGGAAAAAGTAAAAATTTTATTTAAAATAATTTATTGCTGATGCAGATATAACGTTTAAATGTTTTAATAATTATTTAAATTTTAACGCACCGTGTTTTGTTGGTGTTGGTGACTCTGGCTGTTGAGCTACTGGACAGTGTCAACTTTGAATTCAACATTTTAATTTGTAACTAAAAAAGGTAGCAGTTAATTTTGAAGTACGGCTAAAATAATATCTCGTAGCTTCCGTTGTCCTGTTGTGAGTCCATTTTTAAACAGAACGGTTTTGACTTTTTACAAGATTCATCAGGAATACGAATTAAATACTAACAATTTATTCATTTGAAAGCAAGATGAGGGAAACGGATACAAAATTTGTCGAGTAAAAATTTCCAACTCTGAACTTTGACTCACGACTCCGGATTCGGACTCCCAGAAAAATTTTTTGAAACATGCTGAAAGAAAGTTATGAGATTTTATTCACTTATTGGCATCTATTTTAGTATTGAACGCATAAATATCTTTAAAAAAAACACGATCGGAAAAAAATTCTCTAGAAAAAATACTTTAAAAAAAATTCTTTTCACTTTCCGGAGTCGGATGAAAAATATCTGACTCTGACTCCGTCACCTCAACAAAATTTCGACTGCATCAATAATCTTCGACTGCAAAACTCTGGTTGAAAAACTTATAAACTATTTATAAAACTCCATAGTTTAAGTTATACGACCAAATTTATCCACATATAGGTGAGCTTTCAAACAAATCTGGCATAAAATCTTTATGCAAAAAATATGTGAAGTTTCGCTTTATCATTTTTATCCCTGATATTTGTCTGTTCATAATAAGATTAAAACCTTTTTTGCTATGGATAACGTAGAAGAAAGTAATACTTTGAAAATTAACCACAGCTCATACCTTAACAATTACAATTGAAATTCAATGTATAAATGTACACACACACACACACACACACACACACACACACACACACACACAAACAAACAAACACGCACACACACACACACACATGTTGACACATACGTACATAAAATGACTTCAACATTTAGTACTGAGTTTATATAAAGTTCATAAAATTTGCAACACTTTTTTGGCAAAATTTGCTGAGTTGTTTCGATTGAACAGCCTTCGCAACTATAATAACATTAAAGACTGTTCCTAATACGAGTCTTGTGTTTTTTCTTGAATCAGTCGTCAGTCTTTGTTCAGTCAATATTGCATTTGCAATGAAGGAATAAGTTCTGAGCAGTGAGATAGCTGAAACAATGATAAACATGCATCACCTTCAATAATTGAGTGTCGTGCTCTAATGAAAATTTAAAAATGTTTTAACAATAATCAAAAGAAATTAAAATAAAAGTTTCATTAAACACAAACACTGTACCAAGAACCGTTATTGTTTGTTTACAAAAAAAAAGATATTTTTGTAACATTTATGATATTTTAATTTTTTTAGTTTAAAATTGTTGCATGATTTTTCGTGACTTTTTTAATAATAACTAAATAAAGTAAAAAACTTAATTAAAGTATTTTTAACATCTGCTTTCTCAGATCTATCGAGAAATAAAAATTCACAAGTTTCTGAAACACCCGAACATTGGTGAGTTTCTCGTCGTTTGTCAACTTCAACTAAAGATTTCTGGGATATGCTTCATATTGTTTTTGCAATTATTATTTTATTTCTGCAATGATGAACTTTCTATTACAAAAAAATTGTCACCAGTGCAAATATACGAAGTGATTGAAACAGCCAACCACATCTTCATCGTGTTGGAGCTGGCGAAGCGAGGTTGTCACGATGGAACTCTTCATTAAAAACTACTTTATTAGTCCGGTTTTTTAATTTACTGAATTTATCATGTTATCGTTTTAAAACTTGTTTCTGCATTCAATGGGCCTCAATATTTTTAATTGCCTCAGGCGAAATTTTTGACTACATCGTATCCAAAAAAAGGTTGACAGAAACTGATGCAAGAGATAAGTTCAGACAAGTAGGGAAACTCTATTTTACAATTTACAGAAATTTAAATAATTTTAACTCACTTTAAAATAAACAGCTTTTGTCCGCTGTTGCTTACCTCCACACGAACAAAATTGTTCATCGAGACTTGAAAGTTTGTTTCGACAAAAGTTTTTTCAAATATTTTTATTAAACATTTTGCGAATCTTATGAGATGATTGTTTTTGTTTAGGTGGAAAACCTTTTGTTAGATGGTGACAATAATATAAAGCTGTGTGATTTTGGATTCTGTAATTATTACGATGCCAGCAGCTTTTTGGACACTTTTTGTGGCAGTCCACCATACGCCGCTCCAGAACTTTTCAAGGGTCAGCTTTTTTTTCATGGAAATTTTTTTATATTGTGAAGTTTTAAAAACAAAATTAGGAGAGAAATACATTGGCCCAGAAGTTGATGTTTGGAGTCTGGGAGTCATTCTTTTCACTTTGCTGACAGGTTCACTGCCATTTGATGGGAAAACTCTACCAGTTAGAAAATATGTTGAAATCATTGTTCCAATTATTTTTTATTTTAAAAAATGCAAACGTTGTTTTTGTTATTTCAGGAGCTGAAACAAAAAGTTTTGCAAGGAACTTTTAAATCACCAGATTATGTTTCGGTTCGGAGTGAATTGTTTTTAAGAAAATTTCTTAAAAGAAATCCGAACGATAGATTGCATTTGGAAGTAATGAAGAATATTTTATTTGAATATTTTTTTAACTAGCAGTTTGTGTGTTAAACTACGAAACAAAATTTTGTAACCCAGCAAGCACTGCGAGATGATTGGGTGAGCATGGGTTACAGCTGTGCACCAACCTACAGGCCGACAAGTGCCACACTGGATGTCAATCAGACTGTTTTGGGTAGATAAATTCAAATAGTACTTTTTTCACATGAAAAGTTGAATAACGAAAATCAGAATTAAAATAAATATTCGCAGAGAGAATGATAGGCATGGGATTTCCGGGCACAGAAATTATCGAATCAATAGAAAATAAAAAATTCAACAGCTTTCACGGAACATACAACATTTTGTGCAATAAAGTTTGCAATAGTGAGGTAGATGAATAATATAGACAAGTAATGTTCTTAGTTTTAATCGAAAACGTTTTCGAAATTTTAGACAGCCTTTGTTCGAAGCAACCAGCGCAGTTCAACAAGGTCAAACATCGATTTCGTTGCAACATCTATGCCACTGAACAACCCGCCAGCCCGCTGGGAGAACAAGACCGAACAAAAATGTGTCAACCCGTCTCGAATGAAAAACACAAAACCGACAATTCAGCAGAAAAGTTCATTTAGCATTCAACGACCGCTTGTCTACATGACCCGAGATGTGAACAACAACTACGACCACAACTACGCAACTTCTAACTACAAATTACAAGAACGTGAACGCAAAGAAAACATAAAAAAATTTCCTGATGAACCCGACGAAATCAATTACGGAAAACTTCCAAAAGATTGTTTCAAACAGAATATTTTCCCAGAAAATCTCATCGATCCAAGTACGTAAAATTTGCTAAGAATTTTAATTGTTTTAAACTGAATTTAACTATTTCAAATAAAGATAAACTCGTGGCGGAAGATGCCAAGCTTCTAAGAAATAATATGAAAATAAAAGAAATGATGAAGGTAACTTTGAAAAATAAAATAATTTACTTTTAATTATAAAACCACACGAAAAAAATCTTTCTGCATAGAATTTTATCATGAGGCTGGCGTATAAGCTTTTCAACATCGATACCTTTCAATCATTTTAAAACTAAATTCGAATAATTATTTTATAATCAGCTCAGCTTTCGTATTATTATTTATCGAACAATATATTTTTAGTAAATTAAATTTTATGAAAAAAATAATCTCATATTTCTGACAGCCGTCATCGAACGTAGAACGATCAAGGAGTGCAAAGGAAGATGTTGTTTGGGGAGGAAGTCGAGTTACATCACAAGGCGATCCTTCACGTTTCACAACGCTGCTCAGGTTCGTGAACAAAAATTTGCTGAGTAATGAAAAAAATAGGATTAAAATTTTAGACCATTTAAGATTTGGTGGCAGTGCTGAATATGTTTTACGAAAGTTCTAAAATTTAAGAAAATTAAAGTTTTATAAATTTTAAAATTGTTGTAATTTAAATTTACATTGAATTTAAATTAGATTGTACATGAAAAATTAAGTAACTATTAATCTATCTTTTATAAAGCATGATAGCTGTAATAATTTTCAATAAATATCAAACATGAAAATCGGAGCATATAATTCACTGGGCAACAAAAAAAGTATTTTTTTTTGTATCCTTAACTTTTTTAGTCAAATTATACAAATTTTAGGGTGAGAAAAACGAAAATGCAAACGAAAATTTTTTATTAGCTCTAGTTTCTGAGATATGCAACAACAAAAATTTTTTGGTTTTTTTCATTCACAACACAGCAATATGACATATAATTTACTTATTTTAATAATATTTAAAGTGCATCTAGTTTTTTTCAATAAAGATTACATTCTAACAGTTTTAAACAATAAAAGCTAATAAATATAAAGATCATTATGTTTATTATCTTCACGCGATCATGCTCTTTTTGCTTTCCGCCTGTATGCGAGTTCTGGAGCATCCCTACATATAAACCAACAGTAATCTGCAACCATAGCTTCATTCAAACGACCCTGATATCTTTTTTCCATTACAGAAATATCTTGGTGGGACCTTTCTCCATGTTCATCACTAACAGCTCCACAAAGGGGAAAGAAGTGAGTGTGAGTGGAGGAAGTGAATCTTCAAAGTTACATCTTAGTTGATGGCAATTTTGCAGAAGTACTGTTACCAATTGGATGTAGTTATCATCTCTTCTGTTGCCTAAAAATCCACAAATCACTCCCTTGAGAAATTCCCAAGTTTTTTTTTGACCCTTCAAAACTTTATCAAATGCAGGATTTTCACAAGTTCACCTATCTTAGGTCCAACAAAAATACCCTCTTTAACTTTTGCATCACTTAGTTTTGGAAATTTGTTTTTTAAATACTTAAAAGCCTATCCTTCTTTGTTCATACCTTATACAAAATTTTTCATTAAACCCAGCTTAATGTGTAAGGATGGAAGAAGTCCATCTTTTAGATCTACGAGTGGTTCAGCAACAACATTTTTTTCATTTTTGTTGAGATTTCTTGCAGGCCAGTCCTTTTTTGTGTAATGTGAAATTTTGTCTCTTTTGTCCCACATACACAAGAAGCAGCAGAATTTGGTATAGCCTAATTGCATTCCTAAAAGTATTACAATAATTTTAGGAATAATTTTAGGTCACCACAAATTTTCCATTTGTGTTCGTTGTAATTGATTCAGTTAAGAAGAGTTTTCATATTTAGGTAAGTTTCTTTCATGTGAGCTGCATGGCTAATAGGAACAGATCGAGAATGATTTCTATTGTGCAGTAATACAGCTTTAAAGCATAGTTTTAATGAATGTATGAATAATCTCCATTCAGTTGGATCATAGTCCGATACATTAATCCATAGATATCAACGCAAACAACAAGATTATTTTGGTTCTGGTGCAACAGCCTTCTTGTGGTGGAACCGATTGGACCAATCGACATACCTTCTGTCGACCGCTTCCAACAAACCGTTGCAACACCCCCTCCCAATCTCCGATGTCAATTTGGGTTTTTGTCAACGGAGCAGCCTCTTCCGGCCGACCTGCTCCGTTGTCTCTTTCTCAGGGCCGGAATCTAGTCTAACCCGGGTCCTTCTAAGATCCGGATTTGTCCTGCCTGCAATCAACAAATCAACAAAACCCAAACCTCAACTCGTTGCCACACCTGCTACAACTGGGTCCATTCAACCAACTGCTCGAACCACATTAACGGTCGTTACTACTGTAACAACTTCACTCATCTGTCCACCAATTCAAGTGGTCAGTCGGTGTCGGGTGGGACTCTCCGATGGCAAACAACATCAACAAGCACTTCCATCTCTTCATGCTCAAACACTTCACATCCACAAACACAATCCGCCGGACAGCTTAACCTCCTTCATTTTAACTGTAACGGCATAAAAAACAAACAAAATGAAATCAGCCAATATCTAATCAAACACAATATTCACATAGCAGCTATCCAAGAGTTTAAACTAACAGCAGACTCAAAAGAAACAGTCTTCAAGGACTATGCGCTGTATCGCAAAGACCGTGGTACCGGACGAGGTGGGGGTCTCATCATGCTTATCCATTACAGTATTCCTTACACAATCAAGACCCTACCTCCTACGTCAACAACAGAGAGTCAGGCCATCACCATCGGGGCCAACGGCACAGATATCAACATCATCAACATCTACATCCCTCCACAATCAGTCTGCCCCTCCAGCTTCAATATCACAATATTTGGCCATCCCAAACGTGGTTCTGTTGGAAACCGTAAACGCTCATGATGCGCTTTGATACTCCAGTTTGGAGGATTTTCGTGGAGAATCTTTAGCCAGCAAAATTGAAAACTCAGGCTGCGGCACACTCAATCTGGATACCCCAACCTGTCTCCCCTCAACCGGAAAACCGTCATCCCCCTATATATCTGTCATTTCGGATTCCCTGATTGTCAACATGGAATGGTCTACAATGACCGCACTCTCTTTTGACCATCTCCCAATTCATATCACCTTCTTTTACATTTCAACAGACAACATCCCCTAAAATTAATTTTATAAACTTTGCCAAAGCCAACTGGGAAGGCTTCACTTCCAAAACCGAGAACGCGTTCACCAAAACCTCCTTCCATTTTAACCCATCGGTAGCCGAAAGATTGTTTTGTCATATTTTAAAGGTTGCAAGTGACCACAACATCTCTGCAGAAAGACTCATCACCCACACCCCAAGTCTCTCGAAAGAAATCACAGCCCTGATAAAGAAACGTGATGATCTCAGAGCTAACACTCCCACATCCAAGGACATTGCCATCCTTACCTCAGAAATCCAAACTAAAACCGACAACCTTAAACGCACACACTAGAAGGATTTCCTGGGCACTTTTAACAAGATAACCAACACAAAACGCCTCTGGGGCACCATTAAGTGTCTAAGCGGCAAACCAATACAATACCCCAACAATGCCGTCAGTTTCAACAATAGATCAACAACCAACATCTAGCAGATGGCCAACTCATTCAACAAACAATTTACCGCAGCAAAACGCCATATCTCCAACAAATCTAATAGATGCACAACTAAAGCCATCAAGAAACTATCTTTCGATGACCACCCCACCTTCACCGACTTTCAGGTTGCCACAGCTATAAATTCATCAAAACCATCTAAATCAATTGAACCGGACAGCCTGACAATCTTCCACTTAAAGCACCTTGGCCCTTCAGGAATATCCTTTCTAACCAACGTATTCAACGAATCCATACGATCGTGCAGAATACCCGAAATTTATAAAAAGGCAAAAATCATCCCCCTTCTCAAACTCGGCAAACCAATGGGCGAAAGCAAATCCTACCGACCAATATCCTCACTATGCCTTGCCGCCAAGGTCCTAGAGAAGTGCTTGCTGCCGATCATCACTGAACATCTCACTCTGGCAAACCATCAACATGGTTTTCGTCCAAACCACTCTACCACCACAACATTAGCCCTGATGGTTACCGATGTCGCCAATGGCTTCAATCAGAAAAGGCTAGCTCATCACACAGTTCTCACTGCTCTGGACCTCACAAAAGCGTTCGACACGGTCAACCACCAGATCCTCCTTTCTGACCTCCTATCATCATCACTTTCAAGGTCGATTGTCCGGTGGCTCTCAAACTATCTGCATGGTCGTTCCGCATCAACAGAGTTCCGGCAACATCTTTCCAAACAACGCATCATTTGCTTGGGAGTACCCCAGGGCTTTGTCCTTTCACCTATTCTTTTTAACTACTATGTAGCCAAATCACCCGCTCCGCCTCAAGACATCAAAATCATCTCCTATGCTGACGACTTCTAAATTTACACAACTGGTCCATATGCAGATATTTTGACTCGCCGGCTCAATTGCTACCTTCCGAAGTTATATAATTTCTTCAATAGCAGAAATTTAGAA